AATGAGTACTTGCCAGGGGCCAGACACAGTACTGCTTTTCATATCATACTGAATACTCTCAGTAACCTTGTGAGATAGATATTATTATTTCCATTTTGGAGTTAAACAGAGCCTCAGAGACGTTTAGCTGCATGAAGTCACACAGCTAGCAGGCTGTGGAATTTAATCCAGCCTACTGCCTAAGCACACACTCTGAAATGTTCTACTTCCCCCAAGAGCAGAGAGCATCAGCCTAATGCTTCCACTTAGTAACTCTGTGGCTTTGATCTAGTTACCTAACCTTTCTGAGCCTCACTCATTATATCTATAAAGTGAGGACAATAATGTCTGCTTTGTTGCTCTATGTCACAGCAAAGTGGCACCTCACACGGCAGCCCCTAGCCTGGGGCCTGGCACGCAGCGAGGAGTAGGAAATGTTAGTTTCCTTCACTTCGTTTCTTCTCAACAAGACTTCCTGGGAGGCTGTGCTTCAGCGGGTTCTTCATTCCCTCAGGCTAGTTATTGGGTTATTACTATGTGCTGGGCACCGTCTTAGCACTTTGTTTCTTTAAGTTTCCATGGGCCTGTAGCTGCCCTGTGCCTCCTCCTGTTGGGGGATAGTGGGGTTCCTGGAGGACTGACCCCACCGATCACATCACAGCAGAGCAGATGGCATCTGCAACATGGGCTGTGGCTCCAGAGTGGGCTCAGGGGCCCGGACAGCAGCAGGCGTGGTGGTGGGGCTGTCTCCTCCATGCACTGCGTTCCTGCTGGCTCATGTGCAGACACGGCTGAGCCAGGAGCCCGAGCTGGGGCCCCGGGATGCCTCCCACAGAGGGGCTGGTGGGTGTGGGTGTCAGTCTCCCCGTGTTGGGAAAGGTGGCTCTCGGGGCTGCCAGCTCCAGGAGTGGCCGAGTCTTCAGAAAGTGAGAGTCCCTGTGGATGTCAGCCCGGACCCAGATTGACAATGGAGGCTTATGGCTTGGTGGGGGTCGGGGTGGGAAAAGGAAGAGAACTGTGTTTTTCTGGGGTCAGCACACACCATGTTCCAGAACTTCGCTCATCTCCTGAGTCCTGCCCCCATGCTCAGTGCTACCTCCCGTGTCATGGACACTCCCTCCAACGTGGCCTTTCCCGCCTTCCAACCACTCCCCTGCGTCCCCTCCCTCCGTGCCTGAGGCCTGGTGCCCTCCTGCAGCCTGGGAGAGCCCCCCAACTGTCCCTTCCCGCCAGCTCCCAGGTCCTGCTCCCTCAGTTCCCCTGCTTCCCTCCCTGTCTTCAGCCAGGCCCTTCTCCTCCTATGAAAATGCTCTAGTAATTCCTGTGCTCAAACCACACAGAGAACCACAAACACAAACATCATCCGCCCTCACTCCTGCCCAGCTCCCACCCGATCTCTCGCCTCCCTTCCTCTCCAGAATTTCCAAAGTCCTCACTGTCTCCACTTCCGGACCCTCCCTGTGCTCCTCAACAGCAACTTGTGCTCCTCCAGGTCCCCATGCGCTTGGAAACTGCTTTCCCCAACCTTCTGGCTGATTCCTTAATGGACACAACGCAACGGGCCTTTCCCAGCGCTTATCCATCTGACCTCTTTGCTGAGCTGACTCTTCTGCTCACTGTCCACTCTCTGGGCTTTCCTGGCACCACTCTCAGCCTCCTGGACTGCCTGGCTCTGGGCTTTCTCTCTCAGGCCAGGTCTTCTCGCTGATGCCATCTGCTCCATGGCTTCAATCACTGTCATTTCCTGGGTTTTTCCAGGCCTGTAGCTCTAGCCCAGACAACCCACTCTTAAGCCTCAGACCAGCTGCTTTCTGAATACCTTCACCTCGATGTTCTGGAGAAGCCACAGACCCATGTGGCCACACCAGGACTCAGTTTCTCTCCCAGACGCACCTCCTCCTGTGTCACCATCTCAGCGGCCAGTGGCACCCTGCCCTCCAGCCCCAACGTCCACACCTTGCACTCAGCTTAGACTCCCTGTATCTAGTCAGCCTCCAAGTCTTGTTGACTTGCTGCCTAAATTATTTCTCTGATCTGCCCCTACTTCCCATTCGAACCACCACTGCCCCAAGCCAGACTCTTATTCTTCTCTTCCAGGATTATTTCCACAGCCTCCCACCCTACCCTCCACCTGCAGTGGCTGTGAACTTGGTTAATTGCAAGGATACTAATGCCACCGGGTGTTGATCAACCGGTGCCACCGGGTGTGAACTTGCTAGGGGTCCGGTTCAGTACTGAGTGATGACACACTATTGAAGGTAGATGGTTAATATCTCTTTGGCAGTTAAAGGAACTGGGCTCAGAGAAGTTTGGAGCAAGGTGGACGCAGAGCAGGGCCCTGGCTCCCTGTCGGCTGTGTGAAGTGCAGGGGTGTTTGGGATTTTGCCCTTGGAGCCAACACTCTTTCCTGGGCCAGTCCTAGCTTTTGTTTGTTTACCACTTGAAACCTGAGTCCCTTCTTATCACCTTTCTTCATTCCTGTGGTGTTGATCACCATGGAACCTGTGTGGCCATAGCTTTAGTGGACGGAGTGGACAACGGTCAGTCATAGGCCACTGCATTCCCTGAGCTGGGAAACTGAGGCTGAGGGTGCAGGAGCCAGAGCATCAGGGGTGAGGATGGAATCTGGGTCCCCAGGACCCTCTGGCTGCTGGCCCTTTAGGCCAGGGGCTGGCTGTTCTAACAGGGGACACCCACACCTTGGTGCTCAGAGTAGGGCCAGGTACAAACAGGGGATCGGGGAATTGGGCCTCGGGGGTCAGGTGCTAAGTACTGTCCATGCTAAACTGCAAAACTTTGTCCACATTTGGGCTGGAATTTCTGACTCTGGTTTTTTTGGGTTGGACACAGCTCTTTAAATTCCCACCACGTCCTGGGCCTATGTGATTTTCCTTGGTGGAGGTGCCACTCATTGCTCTTACATCAGATATTAAGGCATGGTTTATTGTATGCAGCTGTGGCCACCTCCCATTGGGCAGAGCCTAGGAGATCCTGCCCTGGGCGCCTGAGGGGGTCAAAGGCGTAGACACAGGTAGGGGCAGGCCTAAAAGGGGCTCTGCCTGCTGGCTGGCTTGGCGAGCTTGGTGTGCACTTAGGTTTCCCTTCTGTGCTGCTCAGTGCCTGGAGCACGGGGGATATCTTGGCCTTTTGCCGTTCTGCCTGCTGAGGAGGTTGTGGTGAGCAGGCCGAGGGCAGTCTTGTTCAGAAGGTCCTTGGCAGTAAAGGTGGCCCCTGGTTAGGCTGTCTGTGCTTTCAGGCAGCTCCAAATCTTCTCTTTAGCCTCCTAGAGCGTGATCAGTTTGGGGAAACTGAGGCAATGGTAATCACTTCGACAGTCTATGGTAAGGAACAGGGCTGTGATCTTATTGTAAAGTGAATCCCAACTACAGCCTGGTGGTTCTCACTCCTGTTTGAGCATCAAAATCATTCAGAAGTTAAGAAAAATAAACCAGACTGATCCCCATGGCTTGCTCCCTAGAAGACTCTGTCAGGAGGGGCCAGAGGTGGGGCCATGGAATCCGTCATTTTAATTAGTTCCCACTGATTCTGATCTGTAACTGAGAATAAGGGCTATGGCTAAATACTGCTTTTCTACTCTTAATTTTCATACAAGCCTATGCTCAGGTTAGAGATGGGTAGCATGAGTCTGCGGGGCCTGCCGCTCTCACTGTCCCCAACGACTCCAGTCTGTTTGCCTGATTTAGCCCTGGAAGGTCTGACCATGCCTGGGACATTCCTGCTGACCTTTTCTGGAAGCAGCCTCCTTGCCAACGTCTTGAGTCTCTTTCCCAGCTTACTAGGGTGAGGGGTGGAGGTAGGGACCTGGCAAGTAGCATCTTCCAGCACCTGGCTTGGGAAAAGTGCTGTGTCTCAGGGACATTCCTGGCTTCTTGTCACCACCATGTGGTCTGATTCTTATCCCAGGAGTAATCAGACTGGGAGTTGCCTTCTACCCTGGTTGTGAGGGAAATTTTCCTCCGACAGAGACCCGGAGTGCCTTGAGGTGGTGAGCAGTGAGACGAGGCAGGGGCTGGGCTGGAACCTCTGTTTGGGCCAGAAGTGTTGCTAGGAGCTGCTCTGCCTTCTGGGGCCCAGGTGGGGATGGTGGCAGCTGGCTTCCAGGTGGAAGGCAGGTTTTCTAGTTCCTGATAGAGAGGAAGTCGGCACTGCATCCTGCCCTGTCCCCAGATGGTATCTCGAGGGAGCTACTCTCAAGTAGAAATTGGGAGATACGGCCTTTACCTCTAATTTTATCAATGATCAGCTTCCTATCTGTCAGGGTGAAATGGGTCACCATTATCTCAGCAAAGAGTTTATAAAACTGTGTGAAGTTGCAGAGCCTGAGGTGAGACCCCTGTTATATGGAAAGAGAATGAAGTTAGGTCCAGAGCAAGAGCTAGTGCCTGACCCAGGGGTTTAGGGGAGGCCGGGAAGGGGTGGGGAGTGGTCCAACAGTCAGCCCCAGGACAATGAAGTGACCCTCTGAGGGGGCCTGAGGTTTGGCTTGGTCAGTGAGGTGAGAATGAGGGCCAAGAACCTTGTGCAGATAGAGACTGGCCCATCCTGAGAGGAAGCGAGAGCTGGTTTCTGGGGGGACCCTGCCGGTGCCTGAGTGATGGGCAGGGCCACCAAGTGCAGCCTTCACCATGAGCTTCCAGGGCAGCTAGCAGAGTAACGGATGTTTGAAGAAAATAGAAACTGGTGCAGAAACAAAATGTCAGATGTCCCCTTGACAAATTCCATTGTCCCGAGACCCTAAGGTGTTCATGTCATAGTGAAGCCAAGTGTATCGGTTTTACTGACACTTCTCACAATGAACTCTGCCCTCAGTCAGGCAGCCTGGGCACTTAGGAGTTTTGATGCAACCAAGAGAGTCTACCTGTCAGACAAAAGGTGTCCTTTGGTCCCGTGGCAGATTTTTTCACTGTAAGAACGCTTTGGCTCCTGATGGGCTGCCTGTGAGACAGTTTAGAAAGTGTTTGCTCTTTGTACTGGCTTCTCTCTGGCCCCCTGCACCATAGGTCCCTGGATGTTACAGGTTAGAGCCCTCTGGACCACCGAGGACTGTACTCAGCCCAGGAAGTAGCTGCTGCCGCTTGACAACCTCCCAGGCACCTTCTCCTCCCAGGGGCATGGGCACCCGTGATGCTGTCCCCCCAGGTAAGTGGCACTAGGAGGCCACGGAAGGGGGTGAGTGGGTGGTGGATCTTCCTCTCATCTGCCAGGGAGATGTGGCCAGGCAGGTGGCTCTGTTTGTCTATCTCAGCCCAGCTCTGCAGGCTGATGTTGGCCTTTCCTGCTCAGCTTGCTGTTTGGGGGCTTCCTGGGGGCCCGGGGAGAGTTCTAGAGGTGCTTGGAGTGTTCTAGGAACTTGGCCCGAGCTTTGTCTGCCCTCTCTGTGCTGGTGGGCTGGCTGAGGGGCTGACCCGCTTTGTGGTCAGACTCTGAGGATAAGCAGAGGATGTGGGGCCAGGACCTCACGGGCTGGGTGTCTCCATGTCTGCAGCTGACAGGAGGCGGGGAACAGTGTGAGGAGATGGGGTTCCTGGCCTGGCACTGCCTCTGGGACCCTGCTGTGTGAGCCTTGGTTTCCTCTGAAGAGGGAGGTCCTGCCCCCGAGGGAATGGGTGCTGATGAGGTGGAGAGTAGCTTTTCCCTGGAGGTGGCGTAGGGGCCCGGAGGCCACCTGGGAGGGATGCCAAGGACCCAGACTGCCGGGGCAGTTCGGGCACCAGGTCAGTATGCTAGGGGAAGAACACCCTGGGGCTCTGGTAGGTTAGTGGGGAAACAACTGTGTGATTTAGTGCTACATCAGATCCTGCCTGACGTTAGATTCTTGCAGGGAAGTGGGAGGTGCTGAAAGCTTAGGAAGAATCTAGAAATCTAGAAACAGAATGAAGCTGTGATCGTGTGAGCCCCTGGTCCTGTCTGACTCCTTTGTTCTACTGGTCTCAGAGGTTAACTTATTTCTTCCAGACACACAGGTGACAAAAACAGGATGGGAACCTAGACTTCTGACTCGGGTTAGGTCCTGCCACCCTAGGGGTGGGTGTGCTGGGTCCCCACCTTGGTGGAGCTTCTCCAGGTGGGTTAGGGCCCTGTGGGCAGTCCTCAGGTGTGTCTGGGAGGCGCTGGGCCCCAAAGGTGTAGGACAATTCAGCTCCCAAACATTTAAGTGCCAACTGGGCCGAGATGAATCATGCTGTGCCTGTCCCAGCAGGCAGCGGGGCCAGGCGGGCGAGGAGAGGAGAGTGTGAGATGGAGGTGTGCCTGGCTGCTGTGAGACCCAGGGGAGAGGCAGGGCTACTTGAAGGAATGGGTCACCCTACTTTTCCTGACTGCCAGCACAGGTCCCCACTTGGCCCCACACATTTATTCTTGTTATGCCACCAGACTTGAGGTCCTTCTGAGAACCCAGGCAGCCCTGCCCCTGGCTGTGTCACAAGGACGGGGAGGGGCTGAGTCCTTAGTAAGTGTCTGTGGTGGGAATCAGTGGTGCCCTGTGCAGAGCTGGGAAGTTTAGGAGAGAGGATGGAGGATCAGGGTGGGGTGCCAAGGAGGTGCCCAGGACTCCCAGGAGAGGGTCACTGAGTAGGTGATGGGGTGCTCTGTGGGGTGTGTGTGTGTGTTCAGGCCAAAGCCACAGGTGAGGGGTTCCCGCATGCAGTAACAGTTCAAGACTTGGCAGCGAGGGGTGGTCCACAAGCAGTGGATGGGAGGTGGGGAGGGGGAGGGGAGCCCAGGAAGGAGGCCAGGAGGTGTGGCCGAGGCTTTGGAGCAAAGCCGGGAGGGAGGAGAGAGCAGGCAGCTGTGAGGAGGGGGAGCAGCCAGCCCCGAAGGCTGGGAAGAAAGGTTCATGGACTTCGGCCGGATCATGGCCCTGGCTGGCTGGGCTTGGGATGGCAGACCCCCGTCTGGGGCCTGGGCTTGGGGCTACGGGGGCTGCAGCAACCCTGAGGGGCAGTGTGTTCCCAGTCCTGGTATCCATGGACTCTCGGGTGGCATGTCCCTGTGCTCGTGTCCCCAGCTAAGGTTCTGGCTCCAGTGGCTGTGTACTGTGGGAGCGTCCCTCGGAGCAGGGCAGGGCCCTGCGCACTCCCGGGTGGAAGCAGCAACGCCAGCCTGCAGACTTACAGAGAAGGTGAGATCGGAGGTCCTGGCCTGATGACCTGGTTGCACCAAATGGCCTTTGAGTGCCCCGGGTGGTCTCTCTGGAGAGTTCGGGCAGAGAATGGGGGGTTCCACTTGGCAGCTGCCCAGTCAGGTCCAGTGGCTACAGAGCAGAGCTTGGCGTCATCCTGCAGGGAGGACATGAGTGTGTTTGGATTCCTGACTGTCCTCAAGCTACTGGCAGATGTTACCTATACGGCGGCTCCTGCTGAAACGCCCTTTGGTTTTACGTGTGTCCTTTCAATTCTGTGCCTCGGGGGTTGTGAGTGCACTGAGGGGGACCCACAGGGATAGGGAGCTGAGGATCTCAACATACGCCCAGCTGTCTTAAGAAAAGTCCCATGGGCCCTGGGAAGAAAGGGTCTGCTGCCCCTCGCCTGGGGGTCTGGATGGCTCTCAGCATCCAGGGAGGTGGTGGGGAATGGGCCCCAGAGAGAGAGCTGCTGGAGCAGTGATTTCCAGGACACCCAGCTTCTCCACCACTTTCTGTTCTAGCTTCTAGCTGCAGACCATCTGCTCTGCGGAGACCCTGTTGCAGTATTTTGGACGGAGAGTCAGATTGTTGTGGCTATTTGCCCTCTTTCGGGCCAGTTCCCTTACAGGTCTATGGCGAAGTCTGAGTTCAGCTTTCCCTGGGTCTGGTGCGAGCCCCAGCTCGGTATCTGTGCCCTCTTCCGTGGGCCTCTTGGCTTATGTCAGGGCACTCCAAGGAGAGCTGCACATGCGGCAGAGATTCTGAAAGCTGGTCAGTTTGCGTTTCTTCCCCCTCCCCTTCCTGGCCTCCTTCAAGGCCGGGTTTGCGACCACCACTTCACGAGGGACTTCCGGATGCTCCTTGTCTACGTGCACATTTTGTTGATATGTAGGAACATATCTTATTTCTGTAAGAGATTGAAAGTCCCTTAGTGATAAAGACTGACTCACACATCTCTGTATCTCCACTGCTTGGACAGTGCTTGGCGCATTCTATATGCTCACTGGATGTTCACTGCACGAGTAATTGGATAAACAGGTGTCTGTATACGGGCACATGATTTGCTCTGAATCACCTGAATTTTTCAGTCTGCATGTGGCCTGTCAGGTGCTCAGTGATACTAGATGCATTGGTTGGACCCTGAAGATGGGTTGATGGTGGCCCTGCACCTTCTCTGGGTATTTAAGGCCTCTGTCATGCTGTGTTAGTGCCACGTATCCATCCCCCTTTTCTTCCCCTGAGTTGCTCATGTCACAGGTCTTGTTTAGGTTAGGCACTACCTAGATACTGTTGAGTGAACAAGTTGACCCAAGGAGTGACTTGGAATTCACTGTTCCAGGGATGCAGCCCAAGAGTTAGCTGTGGCCAGGTGCCACCCAGGGCACTGTGTGCCAAGCCACTCTGACCTCTGTCTCCTTTAGCCTCTCTCCAGCCAGCGCCGAGCATCCTGCTGGAGAAGCCAGCCCCACTGTTGAGTGGAGATGGAGACCCTGGCAACCTCAAGCTGGGCACTCCCCTGAAGGGCTGGCAGGCCAGGAATGGCCACCCCAGGATCCCGGGGGACCTGTCTCTGCGGCCCCACCCTCTGGGACCCCTCCCCTTGCTGGAGTCCGAGGCCAACAGCGTGGCTCGGGACACCACCCAGATCAAGGACAAGCTCAAGAAAAGGAGGCTCTCGGATGGCTTGGCAGTGTCTTTGCGAGGTGAGCCCTGGGCCTCGCCACCCACCCTGAGGTCTGTGACTCCGGCCACCTCGCTGGTGAGCACCAGCAGGGGTTTAGCTGGTAGCTGGTGCTCTTCCGGGCTGGTCAGGGGTTCCCCGCCAAGCACCCTCTCTGTAGCCTCAACCTCTTTTACTGCTTGGGCCTCTGCAGTGGCCTCCCAACTGATTGCCCCATTTCCACCCTTGCTTCCTTCTAGTCTTGGCTCCAGAGGGATCCTTTTAAATTACAAATCTGATCATATTCTTCCTTCCACTCCCACCAACTGTGCATAAACTACCCAGTGATTTTTGGATGCACTGAGTAATCTTCTAAACATTCACAGGCACCCAGGACCCTCTGCTCTCACTCATGGGTGTCATGCTCTCCCCAGTCTCTGCTTACCAACCACAGTGACCTTCCCGTTTGGGAGCACAAGTGCTCTCTCCTGCCTCAGGCTTTGGGATCGGCGGCTCCCCACCTCCCTCTGTGCCTCACCTGGCTGAGCCCCACTCACCTTCCCTCGGCTCAGAAACCTTCCTCAGAGAGGCACCCTTGCCCCCCTAGTCTGCATTTGTCCCAGAGAGGCTTTCTGGTAATGCCCAGTAGCTTCCCTCTTAGCTCTTTGCATAGTTTGCATTTGTGTAGCTACTTGTGTGATTATTTGTTTAAATCCTGAATCTTGCATTGATGGTAACTTCTAAGAGGACAGGGCAGAGTCCTCAATGTGAGTCAGAGGATATCTTACAAAAGAGGCTCTCAAGAAATGTTCGTTGAATACATGAGCAGACGACTGGACAGCAGTGCTTTGCAGTTAGTTCTCTCTCCTCTGGGTCATGGACAAACCTGGTGAGCAGGCCAGGTTCAGATCTTAGGCCTGATATTCAAGGGCTCTGGGGCTTTGGGCAAGCCGGTAACCCCTTTAAGCTGACTCAGTTACCTCCTCTGTGTAATGGGGGTACTAGTACTTCTGCATTACTGAGGATTTGATGAAAAATTATGCACAGAATTCTCAGCACCTCGCATTGGGGGAGAACTTAATAAATTGTCATTTCCTTCCCTCCTCTTCCCCTTGGCAAATCCTGTAACAATATCCTTTTTAGCTAGATGAACTCTTGGGTGATGAAAGAAATAAGAAGTCTTGAAGCCTCAGGATGAAACGGGGGCATCCTCTCAAGGGGGACGTGGTTGCTGCTGTCAGACCTGGAGCTGGGACCGGCTCGTCCTCTCCACTCACAAGCTCCCCCTGGTGGTCCCCCTGGAGCCACAGGGGTGCCAGGATGGTGCAGGGGAGCTCCGCTGAGGAGCTGCCCTGTGGCTGGGCACGGTAGAGACAGCAGGTGGGGGCTGGTGTGCTTGAGAGACTTGCTTAGAATTTCCAGGGGGGGTAGCTTCTGGAGTTGCCAGACCAGTGACTTACTGCCTTAGAGATCTGAAGTCTTTTTCTACAAGTCATTTGTTTTGACAAGGTTCCAGGGGGTGAGAAAAAGAACAGAAGCTGTTCTTCCCGAGTACAGATGAGAAGTGACTTTGAGCTCTCATGCTCCTCAGCAAGTATGGAGGGACAGGAATCTCTGGTCCCCTGAGTAGGGCTGGACTTGCCCTCGCCACCCTGTGCTGAGGCTGCGCTGGCCCCTCTGTGCTGCCCAGGTGGGGCCCCGACAGGCGTGCTGTTGGCATGGTCTCCACTTGGGCTGTGATCCCTCCGCACCTCTCTCCCATCAGCACACGAATGGGACTGCATTACAGCAATGCAAGGGAGAGCAGAGCCCGCAGGGGGCCGGAGAGGGGTGGGCGGGGGGGCGGGGGAGTGCTTTGCCTTGGCTGTTTTGATGCCACCATGTTGATGTAACAGTAATAAATGACCTTCAAAAGTTAAATGTTAGTTTTTTTTCACCACCACCAGTGTTTGTAAATAGTCTTGAGCTCCTGGCCCATTGCTGTGCCTGTGCCATAGGCACATGTGTGCTGTGCCCAGCAGCTGCTGCCCCTTGAGATAGGACAGATGGGGCCGGGGATTGGTGATGTCTGTTGGACACATGGATATTAATAAAGGGACTGGGAGTGTAGTGGTCTGTAGATTGTCCCCCGTGTCACAGTAGCTGTGCCCCTACACCATTAGCTGAAAAGGCAGGGGAAACGGAAGTAACTTATGGGCACCTGTCATGTGCTAGGTCCTTTCCTGGCATTTTATGTAAGTTATGTCATCAAGTCTTTGTGGTAATTCCATGATGTGATCACTTTTCATTTTACAGAAGAGTAAATGGGGATTCAGAGACTTGCCTGAGGTCACGCAGCTTCTGGCCAGGACCAGAACCTACTGTCCTCACTCCCAATCTAGTACTGATTTGTTTCCCTTTCTGCCCAACCTGCCTCTGAATAGGTGACTTTGACTGGCACTTCCTACCAAACTTCACAGAAAGGGGAATGGGCACTCAATGCGTGTGCAGCCTCATGGTGGGGTGGGGCTGGGGGTGAATCTGCCCTCTCCCCACCCTCTCTCCCCTGCCATCCCACCCTCCCTCCTCCCCTGCCATCCCACCCTCCCTCCTCCACTGCCATCCCACCCCTGCCATCCCAGCCTCCCCAGGATGTGAGGTCCTGTTGCCCGCATCTGAATTACCCCCCACCGCCTGTGCTCCTGGGACTAACACATTCCCCATCGCCGCCCCATACAGCCTCTCTGGATCTTGCGGGAGGCCCCAGAGGAGTTCCCCTGAGGAGCACCATCCCCCGGGGCCTCTCCCAGAGGCTGCTGAGGATGCCCAGGCCCATGCCTCCCATCCAGAGCATCCCTGCCACCCCCGAGACCAGCATAATGAAAGAGCAGGACCTGGACCCGCCAGGGAGCAGTCAGGCTGCCCAGGAGCTGAGGCCTGGTGCCCAGGAGGTGCGAAGGTTTGGCTGCTCTGAGTTGCCTCCCTGTCCCTTTGTCTCCTTCCCACCCTTTACCAACCCTGTTTCTGAGTCCTGAGCTTTTCTGCAAGTGTCTCAGCAGTTGCTCTCAAGGATGGAGCAGCATGGCAGGGCAGGGGGCGGGGGCCTCATCTCGTCTTAGCCCCACAGCCTCCAAAACCTTTGCAGCTGGCCCGGGAGCTCTGGGTGGCTGCCCCAAGGGGCTCCCTGCTGCCCCTCCTGGGCAGAGGCTGTGGGACCATCTCTCTCACACTTGGTGGTCACTACGCTTTCTCTGGTCTAAATGTTCCAGAACTCCCTGTGCTTCTGACCATGTCCATTCTAGGCCAGGGAGTGGGGCAGCGGGGAAAGGATGCTGGGCCAGGACACAGGAGACCTGGGCTCCGCTTTCCATCTTGCCCCTCACTGGCTGTGTGACCTTGGGCAAGCCACTCCCCTCTCTGGGCTGCACTTTGCACATCTATAAAAAGGGGCAATTGGACCAGATATTTCTGAAGATCCCTTTCAGCTTTGATGTTCTAAGATCTTCTGAAATGAGAAGAACAGAAAAAGAAATAATAATAACAAAGGGGTTGGAGTAGGAATGTGGGGACCAACTAGCCAGTCTTCTTGCCTGGAATGGTAGGAAATACTGAGTTTCCCAGGGGTCCCAGGGATGGGTGGCTGAGAATAGAAACCAGAGGACACTTCCCAACACTGCCTACTGCCCAGGGGTCTCCTGATAAAAGGGACCACCCCGTTTGAGGGGAGCATGCAGAATGGGATCCGTGAGCCCGAACCCTCCCCTCTGCTCCCAGGTGCAGATCTCCCGGCAGTACCTGCACTGCAACGATGAGAAGATGCACAAGTCACTGGGGGGCATTGTCATCCCGCCCATCCCAAAGGCCGAGGTGCCCCCTGGGACCTCCTCCTGTGCAGCTGGGTCCCTTCCCAGCCTCCTGCCTCCAGGCCAGGATGTCCTCGTGGGCCCGAGGGTGCCCCCCACACGGTAAGCAGCCCTAAGTCAGAGCTATCTTGTAGTCCTCTCTCCTTCTATCCCCCCAAGGTCAGCTTGGGCTCCCACGGCTGGACCTCCATGCCAAGGCAGAGCTCTGGGGACTGACTTGTGAAGGATTGGGTCCCCTACTCACAAGTCACAGACCTGGGATGTCACCGTACTTTGGTTACTCTGATTTTCTATTCCAGCGGGCGGAGCGTGTGGGCTTAATAAACAATGTCTCAGCCCCTGTCTTCTATCAGTTTCCCCACATATGTGGTTGCTGCAGTGATGAACAAAATACAAATTATTTAAGGCTCCTATTGAATTCATGGTAGCTATTTGCTTTTATGTATTTTCTTAATTATGGATACTAATAATATAAGCATTATCATGTATGTATGGAAGCTGGAGTGGGTAGTCCACAATCTTTTGGATTTAAAAAGGAATCTTCATACCCAAAAAAGGTTGGGAGGATCACTGTGCTGTAGAGAATCTGGTTTTATGGCGGACAGGTGCTCTCCAGATGGCCAAGAACAACCTCGTGGTCAGTCCAGACTGATGTTGGAGCAAGGGTGTATGTATATATGATGTGTGTGTGTGTGTGTGTGTGTAAGAGAGAGAGAGATGGAGCCAGGGACAGACAGCCCACAGCCTACGGCAGGCTAACCCACCACAGGTCACAGTCCAGTTCTTATGCGACTGACATCTGTCTGCTTTCTTTGGGGTCTGTGGTGCTTATTTCCTCTCTCTCAAGCTTCACTCTGTCTCCCATGCTGCCTTCCCTCTGTACGTCTGTGCACATGTCCACATCTTTCTCCTGGGGAGGGTGGGAACCCGTCCATAGGCATGAGCCTGGGTTTGAAGTCTTCCTCAATTTCTGTCATCGGCCTCCTCAACAGAGGCCCACTCCATCAACCTCTGCCTCCTCACATGGGACACTTCCTCCCCCTCTCCTGCTCAGGCACCCGCCTCCTCCTCCCCCTCTCTTGCTTGGACAGCTGCCTCCTCCTCCCCCTTTCCTGCTCAGACACCTGCCCCTTCATCCCCTTTCCTGCTCAGGCACCTGCCTCTCCCTCCCCTCTGAGAGGCCTTCTTGGTGGCTGTAATGACTCTCTGTCCCCAGGGCAGTGGCCTTTCCTCTCTTTTCATTGCTCTGGACGTCTGTCCATGTTTAGACAGCTGATGTCCTGGAACTCTTCTCCTTCCTCCCCTTCCGTACTGCATGCTTGCTTCTGGGCCGTCCAGGCAGTCTCCCGTGCACGCACCTTCATCCATCCCTTGAACGTGGCCATTCCCGAGATGTGTCCCAAGGCCCTTTGTTTCCATCTCCTTGTTCTCCCTTGAGGACTCTTATCTGTGCTGACGGCTTCCAAGATCACATGGGGATGAGCGAGTACTGCATCCGCTGCTCTGCGCTGAGTCAAGCTCCATGTGGGACGGGAGTCCCGCCTGCTGTGGGCATCTCCAGGGTCCTCATGGCTGAGCAGATCCAGCATGGGAGGGAGGCAGGGAGGGAGGGATGTGGACCACCGTCACCATCGCAGACGGAGCACCTCGTGCTTCCCAAGACCGCCCCCCTCCCACAGGCTCCCAAGTCCCAGCAAGGTGCAGGCGTTCTCTTAGTTCTTCCAGTCTCCGTGTCTTCTTCAACTCCTGCTTCGGTCGCCTCCTATTCCTAACGGGTTGTCGCATCTCATCAGGTTCTTCTTAAACAAGAAAAGTACAGGAGCTGCCAGCCCTTTCCTACCTCCGTCTCTGTCCTCAGCCTGCACTGGCTACCTCCCTCTGGACTGCCCACAGCTCCTGACCTGTCTCCTTGCAGGCCTCAGCTCTGCCTTCTAATTTTTTATTTTTACACCCCAGCTCTGCATACACCTTGTCCATGCACGTCGCCTTTATTGACTCCCCAGTGCCAGCAACTTAAAGACAGATAACCCTGTGGAAGGGCAGAGCCCTGGACAGGGCCTCCCCTCCTCCATCCCTGTGGCCCCAACACCACCCAGACCCCCTTGTCCCCCGTCGAGCCCTTCCATGCTTCAAGCCCCAGCCCCACCTCTACCTCGGAGGTCCTCCCTGTCTCCCACAGGGTGGTGAGCGGCAGAAGTGCTTTCTCTGCATTGTCCACACAGCATCTGGCTCACTGTTTTCCTGACCACCTCCCTTCCACTGATTTGTTCAGCTTTTATTTACCCTCATTTCTATTCTTTAACTTGAGCACTTCAGGGCAGGGGCCATATTGCAAAATCTCTGTGGCTCCACTGCTTGGTATCTGGCATGGGTTAGCCACGTAAGAAATACCTGCCCATTTGCTGTGCTCTGGGGTGAGGGCCCCTGCACCATGTCCAAGCCTGCTCTCCTGCTGCTCTCGTCTGGCCCTCCACGGCCTGGGCCGTTCTGCTGAGTGAGTCCCCGAGGCCAGAGCACAGGATGTTGTGTCCCTGTCCTCTAGTTGTGGCTCGTTACCCTGTCACCCTGGGGGGGTCTGATGTCTGTGCACTTCCCTGGTGGGCAGAGAAAATCACGTGGAGTAAAGCATAACCGGTCTGCACAGGAATGTTAAGCTTTGTGAGGCAGGGACTGTGGGCTGCTTACTGGTGCTCTATCCAGTGTCCAGAGCAGTGCTGCATGCAGAGTGGGGCTTTAGTAAATACCTCCTGGATGGGGTTAAATGGTGCTGCCTGTTTAAAAAGTTACAGTTAAAACCAGTGTGGGGAATGCCCCATCTTCCCTTCCTGTGGGTAGTTTGGGATTGAGCCTCTACTATAAAACTGAGGATTTCCCATCAGCAGCAAAGGGGGTCAGGCCCTCTAGACCCCGTGGGCCGGGGAGTGGGGATTACTGTTGTGAGAAGGAGGAGTTTAGGGCTCCCTGAGCTCTCATGGAGTGCAGGCAGTTTGGAGGACTTGCGCTCAGCCTGCTCTGAGCTGGGAGGAGATGTACCCCTTCTCTGCTGCAGGTACTTTCCTGCGGTCACAGCAGGGGTTGACACGCTGTGTAGCCAGAGACTGTGGCTCAGAGCTGTGTCTAGACACCCCACCTGGCCAGGCCTGCCGATCAGCCTGCCCTCGAGTTTGTGGAAGGAGCTGCATCTCCTGCAGCTTTGAAGCCGTGGCCAAGGGCCTCTTTAGAGGATTGCCCACAGCCCCTCCGTTCTCTCCCCGTCTCGGCTGTCGCCCTGTCCTGGAGCTAGCCTGGGCCCCTCACAGCAGTAGCTTTTACTTGCTATCTCTCATGGTGCTTTTTTCTCCCTCATTCTTTTAAGATTGGTTCTGGAGAGTGGGCCTTGGGAGAAGACCCCTCAGTCTCTGGGTACGTACTCTTCCTGCACGGCCCCGTGATGATGGCTCCGAAGCTGGTGCTTTTGACCTACTGTGCTGCTGGCCCCTGATGTTTAAGCAAGTAAAGCAGATCCTCTTTGCCAGACAGAGTGGAAGGTTAAGCCACAGCCTGCAAACCCCTTATTCAGCTGGTCCCGGAAGGTTTCAGTGTCAGGGGAGCGGGGCCAGAAGTGAGACAGGTGGCCGGCAGGAGGCTGGGGCTCAGAGAGCTTTAGCAGAGGGAGGGGAAGGCCCTCCAGCCTGACCACCAGACTCTGTGGAGAGGATGGCAGCTGAGCCCTGGGCAGGTTGGGTGAGGGGCCCGGGTGGAGCACCCTCGGCCTGGGCCATGGGTGGTGGGCACTGGGGGCAGCTGCTGCGCTGACTGGCAGGAGGCAGGGGACCCCTCACCCAGCTTCCCCAAATCTTGTAGCATTTCTGCAGTCTTTGCTATGGTCACCTGGCACCCGGACACCTGTGCCCTCTGCCCTGCCTCTGACTCCTAGGCAGATGGGGGCTTCCCCTGCCTCCCCCTTGGCCCTTGATCCTTCCCCTGGGTCTCTGGGTGCTCCTTGCACTGAGCAAAAGGATACTTGGCAGAAGGCATGGGCCACCCAAAGGTCTGGAGTGACCTGGGAGCCTGAGTAGGCCCCAAACTCAAGAAGTCCTTTCCAACATTAGACACCCTCAAATGGTGACTCCATTCCAGAGGACCCCTGCTTTGCAGGTTCACCCAAGTTCAGGGAGCTCCAAACTTTGTGAGCAAGGAAACCCAGTTAACTTTCTTTCATTAAGAAAACACTAATGAACCTGAGCCCACCCTGACTCCATAATAAGAAAGGTACTTTGAAAATCCATTGATTGGAAGAATACAGAAGGTCATCTGGAAATGAACTTGTGTTTTCTCAATCACAAGAGCATCGGAAGGTTGCTGGGTCTCAGCTTCTCTGTCTGTAAAATGAGAGAGGGTTGGGCAGGCATGGGTCAGTTCTGTGGCCCCTTCATGCTATGTCATAGTCTCAGGCAGGTGCTTGGTGTATAAAATGGTCAATGGGCTCGTTTTGGTTTTTACCTTCCTGAGGTACACACCTCCCAGGTAAGACAGACTTATATTCTCAGGAAATATCTCAAACGTCTTAGATAACAGATCCACTCCTGTTTCCTGCCTGGTATCCTCCCTCCCTCCCTCCCTTGTCTTAGAATGAAGTATGTAGTAATTGTTGAATGAATGGATGAATGAGGGAATGAAAAGAGGATGAGGTTGGTTCTCAGGCCACTCCAAGCCTGCTAGTGCCGCCCTGTAGAGTAAACTTAACTGGTGTCTTTCTCCATGAAGGAATTGTTGGGCATGAGAATTGAGGGTGGAGGGCTTGGGCACAAACTACAGGGTCATAGAGCCTCAGAGGCAGCCCAAAGGGACTGCTGCTGCTTCAGGGTGCTGGCTGACTTCACGTCCATTCTTATTCTTATATCTTCAGAGCCAAAACCTTTGGCCCCATCCATCAGAGACAGGTCTGCTGCCCCTGAGAAGCCTGCCCTGCCCTCATCTCATTCTGCTCCTACACTGACAGCCTTCTTCAGCCATGCGAAAGAGGCCCACCCCTTGCTGAAAGAGGTGGAGCAAAAGGGCAGCAACAGCAAGGTATCTGGAAATCAAGGGGAGGAGGAAGTTGGGGTCAGAGTGGACCACTGGCTGAACACAAGCGTGTTTCTGAGACATATACATGTAGGACCAGCTTGAGGAGAGCCCCTCAGGCAGCTTCCCTAGTGCTTAAGGTTAGAACCTGTGGACAGGTTTGGGGTGAGGGCTGAAGAAAGGGAGAGAGACAAGAGAGAGGAGGGGAAGCTGGGGATGGGGAGGCTAGGCTAAAGGAAGAGTACAGTGGGGAGCTGGGGGGCGGGGATGAGGGGGGAAGGGAGGGCAGAAGGAGGTCACACCTCGGAAGGAAGCAGGATGTGGGGGAGAGTATAGAGGGGCTTAGGTGAACCAAGCCGAGTAATTTGAACCAACACCCAAGATAGCAACTGAGAGGCAGCTGACTCAGAGGCGCATCAGCCAAAGGCTGCACTTGACAGGCTGACAAATACCTTGCACTTTAAAGGTGACCTTGGTCCACATGATTCTCTTCCCTGGTCTGGGTGAATTTAATAAAACTTGGAGAGTCAGTGTGATAGGGGCCTGTGCTTATTCTTTGAAACAGAGCTATAAAAGGGCATAAACATGTCTTGAAGGCCTGCTAAGTGCATGTACAGTTAAGACTGGGATCAGGGATGATGATGAGAAGGGCCAGGCCCCACAACCTTCCCACTCCATCCGGGCCAACAGAACACGAAACAAAGGGAGAACAATTCGGGGCCGTGAAATGATCTCACTCCCATCCCACCCGGCCGCTCACTCCCGCGGTTGTCCTGTGGATCGTGGCTCTGCAGAGAACTTCAGCTCTGTCCAGCTCTTACCCCGGCTCCAGCACACGCTCCTGCTCTTGCTTCACAGTCTCCTTGAAATTGGATCATTCCTAATAGCATCTCAGCCCTCCGCTAATTCTTTTACCTTAAGAAAACAAAAGCAGACCAGAACATAACTGTTCATTGCCCTACCCATTCCTTCCTGCATCCTCTCCGGTTGGGCTTTAGTCTCTGCTGCCCCATGGAAACTGCCCCCATGGAGGTCGCCATGACCTCCACCTTCCCGCAGATGGCACATCTCGGTCATCTCCTCACTTGGCCCTTCAGCAGCTTTTGTGGCTCATCCTCCCTGAAGTCCCCACCTAGAGATGGGGCAAGAGGATGGCTTCTTTTTGGTTCTCTATCTACATCAGAGCTCCATCCTTCCCAGTCCTTGGCTGACTCCATCCCCTCTTTCTAACTTCTACACACTGGAGGCCCCAGAGCTCGTATCTCTGGCCTCTGGTATGTATACTGGCCTCTGTGATCTGATCCAGTCCATGGCAGTAAGTACCATCCATATGCTGAGGACCCCAAAATTCTTTCTTCAGCCCAGACCTTCCCCTGACCTCCAGTAACAGTTTAATTGTGTAACTATATATATATTAATTATATGACAACATGAGAACATTTAGAAAATCCTCTGGCCTCCACCAAGAGCTGAAGTCCAATCACATCCCTTCTCTGCTCAGACCCCCAGTGGCTGTGTCCTTCAGAGGAAGAGCCCAAGTCCTCCCCAGGGACCACAGGGCCCAGAGCTCTGTGGCTCCACCCACGCCTGCCACCTGGACCCCATGTCCTACCGTCTCCTGTCTCTGGGTGCTCCTCGCCGCCCCCACCCCCGCCCAGCGCAGCGAGCATCAGGGCCTCTGCATCTGCCCTCCCTTTGCTTAGAACGCCTCTCCTGGAAGTCTGCATGGCCTGCCCCCTCACTTCATTCATGTCTCTACTGGAGTTCCACCTCCCAGGGAGCCCTCTGGGCCTTCCTACCTAAAACGAAGCCCTGTGCCCCTTGCTGCTTATTCCCCTCCGGTGCACATTGTCTGGTGTTAGAGGCCAGCCTGCTTGCCCACTCCACGGCGCTCTGGGGACAAGGCCTTCGTGTTGTTTGTTCCCTCTTGGGACAATGATTGGCACATGGAGCTGCTCCTGTTCCTGAAGATTGACTGAATGACAGTGCAGTGAGCACACCTGGGTCCCCACGGGTGGTGGAGTTTACCTTGACCTTGTGCCAGATCCAGGTCACCATTTCCAAGTCTGCCCAGGAGAAGATGCGGCTGAAGCAGATGAAGGAGATGGAGTTGTTCCAGAGGGTGAAGGAGCCCGAGAGGGAGTGGGAGCTTGCTTCCCAGAGCCTGGGCTCCCGGAGAACCTTGGCAAAGGAAGGTGCGGAGTGTCTGGGGCGGGATCCCCTCAGGCCAGAAAGGCCCCTTGGCCAACATCTGGGCCAAAAGAGACACTGTTCACCCCTCCCCACCTGCCCCATCCCGAGACATCCTGGACAGGGAGCCCCGCCGCCTCTCAGCACTTGGAAAGGCCCATTCCCAAAGGGGGACACTGGGGCTGGGGAAGGGCAGGCCTGGCGCGGTGCTAGGACTTCTTCTGCCTCCACAGGCCTCCTTCCCCTCCGGGGCAGCGGGACCCTGTCTGTGCCCACTGGGCTGAGCAGCCCACGCAGAAACAACATCAGTGCCACCCTGAGGAAGCGGGCCAACCGGGCCTCACTCCCCTGCATCCCTGTCAGCAAGCAGGAGCCCAGCTTTGCCCGCCATGCATCAGGTGGGGCCCAGACTGACTCGGGGACCTGTCCCTCTTGCTCTGCTGCCTTGGGACACTTTGGGGCATGGCTCTGCTTCTGCCTGTTGCCCATGTTAGAGTCGGCGGCAGCCTGGGGTGTGGTCACCTTGCCACAGAGAGAGGAAAAGTGTCTGGGAGTCAAAAGCATCTGGGGCCCAGGCTGGGGACCCAGGGAACTGCTGGTGATTACCCATCCTAGGGGACTCAGCAGTGCACCAGGACCGCAGATGCAGGGTAAGAGCACCGTGGAAGTAGCTGGAAACATCAGGAAAAGGAAGAGAGGGTTCTGGCAAGACCCTGGGGTCCTGCCTGTTGCTTCATAAGATGTCAGGTCTGGACAGGGCTGGTTACAGACTTGGTGCTCAGGAGGGTGTCAAGAGACAAGGGTGCCTCTGTCCCCATTCTACCAGAGGAGCATCTTTTTTGCCTCACCTTTTTGTATACTAGGCATCCATGTGAGATTTCATTTGGAAAGATCTTGTTCCTAAAGAATATTTGAACATTTCATCTGGAAAGATTTTGTTACTAAAGAGTATTTGAAAATAACCAGCCTGGTTCAAGTGTGGGATGTGGGGGGACCAGGCTGGCAGACCCTGGAATACAGCACCATTCTGGTGCCAGAAGTGAAATTGACTCACATCTTGTGCATTCTCTTTCTGCTGTTTTGATTCCCTCAAATAGGAGGTCTCAATTTGGCGCTACTATGACAAATAATATTCATTTACCAGTTATGGTAGTATCATAAATTTCCTTTCAAAATAAACTTATTTAGGATTTGAAAAGTGGGTTGATTTGAGGAAAAGTACCAAATGAATACAAGTATAGGTAATGAAGAGATATGGCAAAAATCATGAAAGTGGTAACTGAATGGTTGATACTTGGGGAATATCAATGATCTAACCCACCCCACTCATGTGATAGACAATAAAACTGAGACGCGGACACCCAGAGTCATTCAAAATGAGGGTGGCCTGTAGGGACTATGACTTCGGCTGATGACTTTTGATTCCATGGCAAAGCTGAGAAGAGAATCCAGGAATGAGGTCTTTTTATATTGGCTCTCAAGGACTGCCTCCCAACTCAGGTTTGCCCAGGGCCTCCTGCACTGGCCACAGTGAGAATCATGCCTGTGGAGATGAACCTCTGAAGAGAAACAGTCAGGAAGTGAGAGGTGGTAGTGAGAGCTCAGATTAGGAGGGATGCTGCCAACAGAGGGGCCAAGGGACGGTGGGAGGGGCCCCCAACCTCTTGGGGCCTCTGGTGCCTCAGCGACGAGCGTCAGGCTTTGGACTCAACAGATGGCCTTTCTACTGCCTTCCTCTTTAGGATTTTACAATTCTAGCATTTGTCCCCAAGGAAGGAGAGCCTAGAAAACATGATCTGATTTTTAAACAACATCCCTGCTTATTGCCAGTCCCTGTGGCCGGCCACACCTTGACCAGGCAGGTGCCGGTTAGCTACAGTGCCTTGGTGCTCAGCCACTGCTCCCCCGCTTCTCCAGCCACTGCCCCTCGGCGTCCTCCAGCCACTGCTCCCCAGCATCCTCCAGCTGCTGCTCCCCGGCTTCTGCTCTGCTGTCTGCCTTGCGAACACTTCCCTGCCTGTGGGCAACTTCACAAAAGGCTGGCGAGGGTGGGGAAGCTGATGATAGGACTGCTGGGTGGGGATGAGGTGAGAGGGCCACGAGGGTGAGTAGGTGAGTCTCTCCTTGATAGACTTAGGTGCCTTGCCTCCACCACAGACAGGGCAGGACCAGTGTGACCACTGGCCTGCTGGCCTTTATGTCCTGACATCCAGCAGCGGAACACAGACCAGTGTGTTTATGATAATCAGGGTACGAGGGCTGGAGTGGAACAACAGCAAAGGGTAGAGTTAGGTGGTGTGCCTGCCTCCCAGGGTGGCACCTGGGCCTCACCTGTCCCTTCTTCCTGCTGGCCCCCCGAGGTGGGCTGTGCTGCCGGCCAGGCCTCAGTCCCTGGTGAAAGCTGCCATTCCTTTTCTGTTCTTTGAGTGCAGCTAACTCATTACCTGCCGTGCTGACTTTGGGGTCTCCTGAATGGGAAGAAGAGGAGGAGGAGATGGACCTCAGAGCCTTTAAGGAGTTGAGGCCTTTCTCGAACCCTGAGCTGGGGCTGCTGGAGGCCCTCCAGTGCCTGGACAGCAGCGACTGGTGAGGAGTTGCGTTTTCCTTCCCACCCCAGCGGTCGGGGGAGCCCAGCAGACCAGCTCCTGCCCCAGCTGCCCCCTCCCCACCACTGCCAGAGAGGGGTGGTGATGGAGACCCCTGGTCTGCAGAGGGAGTGGGGCCCCTCCCTGCCCTCCTGCCTGTGACAGGTCCTGGACTTGCTTCTCAGGCAGATGAAGGAGAAGGGTCTGGTGAGCATCCGGCGCCTAGCAGCCTGTCACTCCGAGGTCCTCCCCGGGAGGCTGCACGACGTGTCCTTGGCCGTGACTGGGGAGGTGAGGCCTCCAGACAGCCTGTGCACTGTGCACCTGCCCCAGCCCCCAGCCAGTCCCGTTTCCTGGCGCTGCTGTTCAGTGTGGGTCATGCAGCCACCGAGGGGCCCACGGCTCCCTGGGCCATGAGCACCCCTTCTTATTTCTCAGCCCTCAGTCACTAAGACAGGAGGTGGCCACCCACTATTCCTATTGGCAAACTGAGGCCTGGGGGTTTCCTCATTTCTAATCTCTGGGTATTGGAGCAATCAGAGTCTGTTATGCCCGTTTGTCACAGCCTCTGTGCTCAAATGCCTGAGGAGGGCTGGAGTGCTCTGGGCTGCTGGAGTGCTTCCCATGGGGCTGGCGCTTGGCCTACACTGCGCCCAGGGAGACAGTAAGTGCATATCACCCCATGTGGAGGCTGTGCCCCACTCCTTGTTCCTGTGGGGGACTTGTGGCGATCAAACTGAAAATGATCTGTGTAGGTGCTTTGAAGACTAAGTGGTGTACAAATTTCATGTTTCAGATTGCAGATGGAATTCATAATTGTGATGATAACACCAAGAATAGCATTTGTTAAAAATGGGGCTGTTTTGTCCTGAGCCACTGCAGGGTCCCTGCTGCCAGCCTGGTGTGGCCTGGGCCTGGGGCTAGGCAGAGACAGCGGGCCGGGCCGGTGCAGAGCCCCGTGCTTTGTATGGTCTGGAGCCCTAGCAGGGCCAGCAGAGCTGAGGGGCCCTCTCCCATCTCTCTCCAAGGTCACCAACCTCCGCTCCAAGGTGTCACGCCTGGCCATCAGCACCCTGGGAGACCTCTTCCGGACCTTGAAGAAGAGTATGGACCAGGAGGCCGAGGAGATTGCCCGCTGCCTGCTGCAGAAGATGGGGAACACCAGCGAGTTCATCCAGAGAGCGGCCAACCGGTCACTGGGGGCCATGGTGGAGCATGTGACCCCTGCTCGCTCCCTGGTGGCCCTCACCTCGGCGGGGGTCTAGTATGTGGCCGCCTGTTGTCTGAGGGGTGGGGTGGTCTGGGAGGGTGAGGCGAGGGGAGAGACCCTGGGAGGGGAGTGGCAGGGAGATGGAGCAGGTGTCTCATGCATTTGGCTGGGGGAGGAAGAGCCCACTTCCCAGTGGGCCTCTCTCCCGCCTTTCCTGGGCCAGGCTGGGCACAGTGAGGCACAGCCCCAAGCCCCAGCTGGGAAGGGACAGCTGCTTTGTTCCACTCAGACGAGGGAGCCCAGAGCGGCTGTGGTATGGTCACCGGACACAGGGCTGTAGAGGCAGCCTGTGGCCCCGGCCTGAGGAGCTCCTGCCCCCGCCCAGGGGAGCTGCGTTCTCCTGATGGAATCTGGGCCGTGAGGAGAGCCAGGGGCAGCATCTCATTCATCAGCTTGTGTGGCTTTCTTCTGGGGAGGCGGAAGGGGCTGCCTGCTGTTGGAGCCTTTCTGCAGCCACACCTGCTTTCCCCTTACATGAAAACCGAAACCAAAAGCAAAACTAAAAACGTTTCCCAAGCTCTTCACACACAGGGCAAAACAACACGTATGCACAGACCCCAGGACGGGTTGTGGCGGCCAGCAGGCCTTCGGTATTGGTGCCACATTACAGTTACCTGGGTTCACATCCTGGATGTTACTTACCGTCTCTGTGCCTCAGTTTCCCCATCTGTAAATTGGGGATAACAATGGTGGATAAGAGGGGGTAATAACTCTGTAACTCCTCATGGAGTTGTAAGGAGTAATGAGCCGATTCATGAACGAGCCCTTAGAACAGTGCTTGCCTCCACCTAACATTTATGGAGCGATTTCTGTGGCTCTTATTAGCTGGGGACTTTTCTGGATTCCTCCCTTTGCCTCGGCTTCCTTTCCTACAAAGTGATGGCAATACTAGCATGTGGAGTTGAGGAGGGAGCCAGTGGAAGGTGCTTAGCGAGCTGCCTGGCTCGGAGGGTGTGTTCCCCACAAACTGAGGCAGTTGATCATCATTGCAAGAACTTGAGTCAGTCCTTCTCCGGGGAGCCTCAAGCAGGGTTGTGGTTTGAATTCCCAGGGTTCTTGCTAAAAAGCAGATTTGGATTCAGACGCTCACGGTGCTGGTGCCTGGACCACCCTGAACTGGGAGGGCCCTTTTGTGTCCCCCTTTGTGTTCCACTGGGATGGAAAAGAAAGAGGTGACACCCTGGTGTGTTTTTCCTGTAAGGTTTCAGGATCCTCCTGTTATGGTTGCCAGATCACCCAGTACTCCCCTGTCCCTCCTCCTGTCTCAGTTCCCTTTAACAAATGTGCAGCAAGTCCCACTAAGTGTCAGCATGTGCCAGGCCCCAGTGGGGCACTGGGGATTTGGCAGAGAGGGAGCTTGGTGCCCGTTTGCGGGGAGCTCCCAGCCTGGCTGGGGCCACAGGGGTGCCCCTGTTCTTCCTGTGGACAAGGACAGTGTCGCCCCCAGGGAATGTCTGCCTGGGGCTGGGGAGGCAGAGAAGGGGCTGTTGACTGGGTGGGCTCTTTCTAGGTGGAGAAATTTGGACAGGGCAGAATTCAAGCTCAGGTCGGCACAGAGATGGCTGGCGCAGTATCTGCGAACACAGAACACGGAGTGGCTCCCCTTATTCGGTCCCCACCGGCTGCCGTCAGCATCCTTAGTTCTGTTACTGGGAAGTGACTGACCTTTCCTAGAAGATTCCCTGTAGTCACACAGGACACATTTTGTTGCCCACCATGGCATGAAATATGGGTGCACAATTGTAGGCCCATGGATGCCACTCTGGGGACCCCCTCACCCCATTCCTTGGCTGAGTTCTTGACTGTGACTGTGTTTTCTTCCAGCCACCGAAACCCCTCAGTCCGGAAGTGCACTGCCGAGCACCTGTCAGTCATCCTGGAGCAGATTGGTGCTGAGAAGCTTCTCTCTGGCCCCAGGGACAGCACAGACATGCTGATGCACAACCTGGTGAGGCTGGCCCAGGACTCCAACCAGGACACCAGGTAATGCAGGGCCAGAGACCTGGGGACTGCCCACCCAGCTGGCCCAGGGTGGGTAAGGGGACAGGCCAGCCCTGAGGGCCCTGGCCACGCAGCTCAGCTTCCCTGGAATCATGCAGAGGCACAGTCAGGTGGACAGAAGCACTATCCTTTCTTTACAGCCCGCACCCCATCTCCACCGGCACAGCTGGCCTCTGGGGATTGAGCAGCACTCCTGTGTCCACTTTCTCCCCTTCTCTTCCCCCTCTAGCCACCTCAGCCTTGCGCTTGTTCCTGACCCACCCCTATTCCATTCTCAGAAAGACCATTAGTTCATTTTTTCAGGAGACATTTAATGAGCACTCTTCATTATTATGGATACAGTAGTGAGTAGGGAAAATAAGGCCTCTGCTGTCTTGGAGCTGACCTCCTCTTCAGGTTGTAGGATAATAAACAAATAGTTATGATAGTTTGAGGAACAGATAAGGGATATAGAGGGAAAAAAAAGAACAAGATGTGGTGGAGAATGGGGTGGAGGCTCGGTCAGGGTGAGAGTGGGGCACATCTTCTGAGGAGTGACATTGAGTGGAGAGCTGATGGCCGGGAGGAGCCACTATTGGAGGGAGTGGGGGCTGGTGTCCCAGGCAAGGACCCGGTGCACAGGCCGCTGAATGGGAATAAACTCGGTGTTCAAGGAAGAGAAGGGCCAGGCTGCACGGAGCACAGTGAGCCAGGCAGAGTGGTGGGCACCGAGGCCAAGAGGCTGGGCCGGGCCAGGCAGGGCCTCACGGGCCTCCATCAGGAGTTGGGATTTTGGTTTGCATGTGACCAGAGGCCACTGGAGGATTTTTTAAGTAAGCGTGTGAGGAGTATTAAATGGTTTTATGCAGGAGAGTGATAGAATCTGATTAACCATCTTCAGAAGATGGGGGTGGTGTCCAGTTAATGACACTCCTCGGTTCATGGCATCTTATCACCATGTCTGGAGACCACACCATGCCAGTAACTGCCCTAGGGGCCACGTCTACACTGTGCACTGTGTTGTGTCCCAGGTGGTGCATTCTTGTGGACAGTCTGAGGCCCTGCTACCAGAGACAATTTGACCAAAATGTAAATCTGATAATTTATCAGCTTGTCATTGTCTGTAGGTTAAAGCCAACTCCTTCATATTTCCCTAAACCGGGTACTACCCTCTTCTCCAGCCTATTCTATTCTGCATCTCCCACCACACGCCGGCTAACATGTCAGACTGCCTATGGGCCCTGGAATGACTCCCTCCTGACACTTACTCCCCAATCTTGTCTCACTTGTAAACTTCTACTCATTTTTTGAGTCCCAACCCAAGGGTCACCTCTTCTATGAGGCCTCCCTTGATTCCTTCCCCCCCCACCTCTATCCACTCCTTCCTATATTGCCCCACAGCATCCATGCTGAGACTTCTAAATGTTCCAAGCTAGAAAAAAGTTAAGCACATTTTGGTAAATAGGCACCCAGTGGAATATTATGTAGCCATTAAAAAGGATGACATGGGAAGATAGTTAATGATAAAGTGAAAAAAGCTAGATATAAGTTGTATATACATTCTGATACCAACTGAAATATATATGCATAGAGAAAAGACTGTAAGAAAATATGTAAAAATTTAATAGTGGTTTTCTCTTGGTAATGGGTTAGGAGCAATATATATTCTTTCAGGAATCTAGTTTTTAACTGAGTAGGGATTACTACGAAACTTGGAAAAATTACTAAAACCTCTCTTAGTATAATTAGAAAACTCATGTAAATCTGTAAAGCAGAGTTATGATGCATTTCTGTGGCTGTTTCTTCCACCATCTCTTTCTCCTCTGTCAGGTTTTATGGACGAAAGATGGTGAATATCTTGATGTCGAATGCAAAGTTTGATGCATTTCTGAAGCAGTCTCTCCCATCTCATGACTTGCAGAAGGTCATGGCGGCCATTAAACAGCGGGTAAGTCAGTGAGATGTGCGTGGGTCAGGGGTGGGGATCAGAGCTGAGCCTGGCAGCCGTCATGCTGGTCAGAGAAGTGGGGAGAGGCTTTAATTTCACCCACTACTCCTGCCAGGTGGAATAAATGTGATTTCCTCTCCCTGTGCTGGTACCTGGCTCTGCCCCTCACCACCTATGTCCTTTGCGCCTCCCTGGCTGCCCACACCTCCATCAGTTGAGTGGGGATCTTGACCCCTGCCTTAGCCTGCCAGTGCCCTGGAACGCTCAGCTGTGCCCTCTGAAGCTCTCCCAGGGAGAAGGGCTCTTCTTCTTGTGGTCTAGGCTGGAGTATCCAGCATTTCCCCAGAGGGCCACCCCTTTGGCTCATGTTCTCTGTGTATTTTCCAAGGGAATTGAAGATAGAGATGAACTTCCATCTGCCAAAGGCCACAAGGTGTCAAGAAGTCTGGTGGTGGGTGAGAACGGGCTTCCCAGCGAGGACAGGTGTGGCTCTGGGAGGGTGTGTGGATCTGGGCTGCGCCTGGGACCTAGTTGTGTCTGCAACATGCATGGGTGAATGTGTAGGATGTGCTCCCCCACCCAAATCCCAAGGAGACCAAACCCTGAGATCAGGAGCCTTTGCCGCAGAGTTGGTTCCTGCAGTCTGGGTAGGTGGGGTGCAGTTCCCCTCGTACAGGTGGGGCGTGCTCAAGGCGGGCTTTGTGAGCTCAGCACTTCTCCATTCACTTAGAGCAGCAGATTCTTTCAGCATCAGAGTGGCCAGATGGAGACTAATTTAGAGGCAGATTTGGGGCAAAGGCAGATGAGAAGGACAGGCCGAGGGGCTGGAGGACGGGTGTGAGGAGTGAGAGACCAAGCAGAAATCTGATGGCTGCTCCTATGCCTGAAACTTGAAACACTTCTGCAGCGCCCTGGGAGGAGAGCATCTGAGCTCCACGGCCTGGCTCCCAGGGAGGCGCCCCACCCGCCTCTCAAAGAATAGCTTCCTACTCTCCTCCCTGCACATCCTCTCTGGGCCGGAGCAGGGCAGCTCACGTTCCCTGCCCCTGCATGTTCTCTCTCCCTCCTCTGCCTTATGCTGTGCCTGCACCTAAGGTGGGCACCTAAACATGCCTACTTGCTGTACACGATTCCAGGAGATTCAGCTCACCTGTCACTTCCTCTCAGAGCTCTCCCTGACACTGTGACCCCTTGTCCTCTGGGGGAGCAGACAACCCCTGTGCTCCAGTCCCCTGTCAGCCCTTCTTGCATAGGTCTGTGAGCTCATTCAGGCAAAGCCTGTGTCTCTCACCTCATTGTGCTCAGTGCCCAGCTAGCTGTTGGCATGCAGTAGGCAAAGAGTGACAGAATGAATGATGTCGGGCTGTGGCAGTTGGGACCCAGGTGTGGGGCATGAGTCAAAGACCCAGGCTCTGAGTTGGGATGGGAGACAGGAGTTCTGTAACTGCTCTCGTGCCAGCCAGAACGGGCCAGGGGATAGACACGGTGGGCATGGGACCCCAGTGGAAGAGAGCACGGCTTCTTAACATTCCCCTAGTTACTGGAGGAGTGGGCAGGGCCTCACCATCCAGGAGCCAGGATGAAGGCACCTGGCAGATCGTCCCCCACTCTTAGACTAAACATGCACCAGCCATTCTTTTGTGGATTCCCACCCATTCCCTCCCTCTCTCCTCCCCATGGCCATTCTTCACATGGTTTCTGAAAAGAGAAAAAAAAAGGCAGGAAAAGACAGCTGTGCCCCCTGACAAGGGGATGGGGCTCCAGGGAGCCATTTTATTGTCCCCTGAGGAAAGGATTTCTAGAGTTCCCGAGGCCAGGATATTCAGCAGTGGGGAGGGACTAAGCTGCAGGTGACCCTCTCGTCTCAGCCCCACCTGTCTGTGGGAGGGGGCATGGGACAAGAGGTGTGTCAATCCCTGGGGACTGCCCAGGTCAGACGCTTCTCCCACAGGCCCAGCTTCAATGGCCCTCGGCCGGTGGGGCTGCGCTCGTCCTTGCGGGGTGGCTTGGCAATGGGTGAGCAGCTGCGGGAGGTGATGCGGCTGCTGGAGGCCAAAGAGTACCAGTCCCGGATGGAAGGCGTGGGGCGGCTCCTGGAGCACTGCAAGGCCAGGCCCGAGCTGGTCACCGCCAACCTGGTCCAGGTGAGCCCTGCCCCACCCCTGCCCGCCCACCTGTCTCTTCCCTGTGGATGCACCTTCAATTTGGAAAACCTGGAGCAGGGTTGGACCTTGTGCCAGACCCCTCAGAGTATAAAGGGAGTCTGACAAGCACATACCATCCAGCTGCCTTGGTAACACTGCAGCCTGCCTGGAAGTGGCCGAGGGGCTGAGGGCACTGCCTCCTGTCAGGGACCACTCAGAGATGTCCTGGGCATGCCTCAGGGCTCTAGCAGGTCTGTGGAGAGGAGGGAAGAGGTGGAGAATGCCAAGGCTGAGGGCAGCTCCTAGACTAGCTATGTGCTTGAGGTTTTGGGGGCAGAGCCTGTGGTTGGCCAGGCAAATGGGCCAGGCTAGCTGACTGGGTGGGTCAGGATAGGCACAGGCCTTCTGCAGGCTGGGACCTAGGGCAGGTGCCTGCTTCTCCTGGGAGAAAGGATGCTTACAGGCAAGCCATGGAGCAGAGTAATTAAGACAAAGGCTTGAAATCAGCAGACCTGTGTGTCCATCCAAGTTTCTTACTTGTTGTGTGCTCTGGGGCAAGTCATTTAACCTCTTTAAGCCTCAGTTTTTGTTTTGTTTTGTTTTTAACGGTAAACTGAGGATGAGAACACATGCCTCATGGGTTGTTAAGATCATCCCGTGAAAGGGGGAGTGCTGAGTACCTAATAGGATGCCTGTGATGCTTTGCACAGGAATGCTTGATACATGGCCGTTCTTCCCCTCTCGCCCCTCCCCTTTTGAGGAGGTGAGCTTTGTCACTGGGGATGTTCCGGCATAGGCTAGATGGCAGGGAGGCAGGAGGAGCCCCTGCCGAGGGTGGCAGGGCTGTAGGACTCTTCCCAGCCTGGGTTCCCATGGGCTCCTGGTTTCTGTTCCCTCAATAGGTCTTTGATGCTTTCACCCCAAGGCTTCAGGATTCCAACAAGAAAGTGAACCAGTGGGCACTGGAGTCGCTTGCCAAGATGATCCCCCTCCTCAAAGAGAGCTTGCTCCCCATGCTGCTGTCCATCATCATCGCTGTGGCAGACAACCTCAACTCCAAGAGTGCAGGGGTGTATTCTGCTGCAGGGACCACACTGGACGCCTTGATGGAGAGTCTGGGTGAGCCTCCGCTGCAGCCCCCGCAGTGGCTCCATGTCACTCATAGAGGGGGATGACACTGGGTGGCAGATGTTTCCCTGGGGGCTGCATGGGGCAGTGGCCAGCAGCCCAAGGCCTTGGAGATTCTTGGTTGGCAGGCTTTTCCATGTCGCATCCACCTGTGTGTCTTAGGTGATTACACATGTAGGAAATGTGGAGATGATCTAGTTTTGCCTCCTCATAGTACACGTGATAGAAGTGACTCACCCAGGGTCACATAGCACCATAGTGACTGAGCCAGTAGGGCACTGAAGAAAAAATAGGTCAGATTGCCAGGAAGGAGGTGGGAAGCATTGCCAGCAGTGTTTTTAGTTGTAGAGATGGTAGCAGTAGATGTGGCTTGTTTGGGGACCAGGCAGGATGCTGGCGAGGCAGCTGGGCAAGCCTATTGGGGAGGACAAAGTTGATGGGTGGGCAGGCCCAGGTGACGGGCCACCCTGATTGGCACAGGAGTTAGGCTGGAGCCCCACTGGCTTTTTGAGCGTGGAATGGGCAAGAGTTGCCTTACAGCAAGATTGTTTGGGACTGGGGCTTGGGGTGAGGAGTGGGGAGGCAGTGGGGAGCGGCACGGAGGAGGAGCAGAGGAATAAAGGGGGGAGTTCACACCAGGAAAGGTAGTGGTGGCTCCTGTGCTTTGCAGTTTCACGTCTTGGTCCTCAAACATCAGGTGGGATTTTTGGTGTATTCTGTTCTCCATTCTCTTCATAGATGATTAGGATGTGACATTTGGTGTATCTAGTACCCAGACTGAAGTACAAGTTCAAAACCTCAGGTGTGTGTGAGAATGTAGCCATGAGTAGACTTACGTCCATAACATACAGTAGAGCCATGAGTTTTCACAACCAGTCTTGCCTTGATGTAAGGCAGCTTATGATCTCAGAATGGCTTTTGTTTGCCTGTGGCTGTGCCCTGACGAGCACGGAGCAACGTCCTGCCATGGGGCCCCACGGAACATCCCCATGGTGAGGCTAGAAGCACGGCCTGGCCCGCTCCCACCTCCTCCCTGAGCCCACACCCTGGCCTGGCCCAGCTCCCTGGGGCAGGACAGCAGTGCGTCCTTGGCTGGAGCCTCCAAAAGTTTCCGTGACAAATCAAAGGCCTGGTCAGGCCCTTTTCTGCCTCTCAAGTTCATAAATATTGTCAATTTCCTCTCTTCATCTCAAAGACAATTTATGATTTGCTGAGTCTGTTGCTGTAGAACAAACAATATAAATCCAGCTTTAAATTACGGCTTGTTCTCAGCACTTCTCTGGGTGAGTGAGATTGCTGTTGCCAATAACCAAGGCTCTTGGTAAATCACTGCGAGCCCTGGATTTATTGGGAAAAGCTGCACCAAGCAAATTAGGCTTCAGCTATTTGAAGAGGATAAGCACCCTTGTCTGGGGAGAGGAGCTTTTAACTCTTCCCCCTTCCAGTGTTTTTGTTTCCACGTTTCGCCATTTGCTGGCCTCCTTGAGTGCACTGGACCTCTGGAGCTTTGGTCTGCAGAATCTGGTATCTCACATTGTTACAAGATTCAGGTGCCCTCTACCTGGGGCCCTGCTGCACCTACCTGGGCTGGATGCCCTGGAAAGTGGGCCTGGGGATGGCCTGCTTGTGTGAGCTGACCACACCTCAAGGCAGATTGCCACTTCCAGAAGATGTCTACAGTTCTCCTTTCCTCCTGGTCAGCATCTCCTTGGGTACTGCTGCCATGCCCACCCTGCTCCATCAGCCAGAAGGTCTGGTGTGGGGAGAGTGGAGGCAGGTGTGAGGGCCACTGTCTTCCTCTCGAATTCTTAGGTCGGTGTTAACTGGATGAGTGGACTGGGGGTTGGCTGCAGAGGAATGGACGGAGCCCAGCAAACCCACGGCCAGAGGCTCTCATGGGGTCCCGGGGTCCCAGGGTGTCTTAGCTCTACATTATTTTGAGCAGGTGTGGCCCTGGACTCTGGGGGCCTCATGGCTGTGCTGCGAGCCATACCCTCTCAGCCAACCAGCAACATGAGTTTGGAAGCGTTCTTAACTATGACGTGGTGAGCCAATTTCTATTTGCATGAAGGTCAGAGCTGGAGGGATTTAGGATGCCAGCAAGACTCCTCACTGCCAGGGTGTCCCGAAGGCATAACCAAGCTCTCTCTGGGAACAGCTCTCATCTGCTTGGAATGGTCTGAGCCCAGCCTGCAAAGGGAAAAATGGATGCAAGTAACTGAACTTCCCATTGTCCCAGGAGATTGGGTGGTAGAGGCAGAGACTGGGGCAGGTGTGATAGAAGAGAAGGGTGTAACTCCTCCTTCCCATATCACCCAGGCTGAGTCTGTTGCATCTAGTTGACCCTTAGTACCCAGAGGCCCCCTGGAAGTGGCTTAGAGTCCTTTGAGTAGAGGCAGCTTTCTCCCAAGTCTGCGTCTTCAGGCCCCACGGGGCATTCCGAGGTTCAGGCTGGAGAGGAACTGTGAAGTGCTGTGAAATACTTGAATGTGAAATGTCACAAAGGAGTGGCTCAGCATTCAGCATGTTACCGTTTGTTTCCTGCTTGATGCGGGCCAAGGGGATCAAGAACATGGCCAGGGTAGAACACTAAGTCCAGATCACACAGCCAAACTGGGAGATTGGTCTTCTTAGGCAACCTCTTAAGATTCTTCTGATTCAGGAATTGAGTGATAAAGCTGCCTCTCTAGCTACCACATCTTTTCTAGTGCCTGGGTGAGTAGGGCAGGTGGTGTGTTGGTTGACAGAGCAGATGGGGGTTTCTGCCCATGTCCTGGTTTAGGGGGAGGATGAGGAAGGAGAACGTATTGGACACTTGGATCTCTGACTTTGATCCCGGCCTTTTGCCACTGCCTGCCTTCGGGCCTCTCCTGCTGGTATCACAGAGGTATTCTGGGGGTCAGGCAGTTCCTGAGCAGGCTGACTAGTTCTGTCTTTGGTCTCAGTTACTGGGTTCGTTACAGAAGAAACATCACTAATGAAAACATCAGGCTGCTGACAGCTCACCCCATCCTGGTCAGACCAGTGCCAGAAGGAGTTCTCTTAATTTCGGGCAGCCCCTGGCCTGTGCTGGAGAGAGCAGCAGATAAGCTTGGAAGTGAGTGGCTTCAGATCTGCTTTTGCTGTTTTGCTCTCTGACTTTAAATTCATTACCTAATATAAATCATATGACCAACATTATATTGTTAGTGGAATTTAAAAATTCATCAGTGGTGCTCCTCTAATATACCAACTGCTTTAAAATATCTTGTCTTTTTCTTGTCTGCATGTAAACAGGTTTCACTGGTTAAAAATAATGTATACAATTGTGACTGCTTTTTTCATTTAACACTACTCAGTTTCCTGTGCTGATATGCAGTCTTTCTGGTTAACTTAAAAATATAAAGTTCACTTTTCACCACTATAAAAGTCATACTTATTAATTATGGAGAAAGTGGAAAATGCTAAGTACTTAGAAGGAAAAAAACCTCAGAGCCCCAACTCCTAAAAAGAAATCGTTATTAACAATTGGCATTTTCATTTTATAGATTTTTTTTCTGTGCTTATCTGTACAGAGTTGTGATCCTATTACACATTTACATTTGCACAAGCATTCACACCTGTTACAGACTCTAGTCATTTTAGCAGCTCCATCACATTGTATACCATGTGCATTTTTCTGTTTGGGTGGATCGTTCCCAGTTTTCCTGTGGTGAACAGACCTAGTTTTGGTGACCACAGAGAATTCAGGTGTATGACATAACTTAGTGAGCCTTGGGCTTTTTGTCAGGAGTCCAGTTTCTTTCTGCCACTGTCCACACTACCATATTTTTTACACTACCATATTTTTTACACTTTGTTGAAAGCTCTTCTCTAGCTTCCCAGTAGCTTGAGGATGACATGGGCTGGTGGCCTCAGGGCTCGGCTGAGTGAGACAGGTGGGAGGCGGGAGGCCCCAAGACCTCTGTCCCAGTGTAGAGAGGAGAGAGTAGGCCCAGGGAGGACAGGGTGTCTGGTCGGCCAGCCTGGAACTCTTCACACTGCATGGCTTTACCTGCCCTTTCAAGCACACAGCACCAAAGCCAGCCATGGCTTTCTTGTGGCGCAGAAGAGGAGCCTATGAAAAATTCAGGTCAGGATACTGGAGAATGGATTTTTAAGATTGCAAAAGTTCAATTCCAGCCTCTTCATTGGTCTCTCCACCATGAAGGTTGCTGGGCTTTTAGGGGAATAATAGTAATAGCAGGAACAATAGCTGACACATAGTAATTATATGCTCAAGGTGCTATCCTGAGCATTATGTCAGCTCATTTCAGCCACACAGCAGCTCTATGAGGAAAGTACTAGTATTATCCCCATTTTATAGATGGGTCAACTTAGGTCTAGATAGGAAAAATGACCTGTCCTATGTTACATAGTAGAACATGGAAGATCCAGGGTTCAAATCTAGACAATGTGGACCCAGAGCCACACCCTTACTGCTGTACTTTCTGCCTCTCATTAAAACTGGGTGTGACCTGGGAGGTGAGCTGTCACTCTGCAGGTTGTTCAAGGAAGAGAAGCCAACTACTCAGGGGTTATACACCAGCTTGGGCATGCTTAGTGTCTGTGCTTTCACGTTGCCCTGTATCTGCACACCCTTAGTGAGCATCTGCTGTGTGCTGGGCACCCTGGGAGCATGCCCTGGCACAGGTGAGTGCTGGATGCGCATGCTCAAGTATTCCTCAAGTTCTTCACTTCTCTCTGGCTCTGGGGGCCAGGCCACTGGCCAGGAGGGGGAGGTTCAGCTGTGTCCAGAGAAGGCCCTGGACTGAGCACAGTTGGGGGAGAGCAAGTAGGGGGAGGTCCTTCTTCTCCGAGGTGAGCTCATGGCTAATGGCAGGTGTGGGGCAAATAGAAGCACCTGGAATCAAGAATGTAGATGACAACTGATATAAAAACCTGTTCTTCCACTATTAAAACTTTACCAAGACACCCTGACACTACTTCTTACTAACTTCAAGATTCTAGAGGCTGGCATCTCTTCTGTCTCCCAGAACAAAGTATTTTAAATACTTGTGCCTTGTGGATGGTGCTTTACAAGCAGCAGAGATGTAGATGATGCACGTGTGTACATTTCTCATCTACATCCCTTACAGGTCTCAGGAGGAGAGCAAGGGGGGCAGGAATTAGCAGGAATTGTTGCCTAATGGGAAAAGCAAACTTGATTGCACATCTGTGGGGATGCTGAGTATCGAGGGAACTTGGCAAAGGCGAACTGGCCTGAAAGATCTTCCTCGGGCAGGTCTCTAATCTCTGTCCCCTGCAAAGGAAAATCTGGCCTTGAGATGGTCAGCTCCTGGGACCCTGGGACATGCTTTCTGGGGCTGTCTGTGGTAACAGCCACCCAGGCTCTCCCGCCTCACCTCCCTGACAGGTGCCAGCAGGCCCCATAGCCACATCCCTGACAAATGCGTTCAGTTTCTTGCCCCACCTCCGTCGAATGGCACTGTGACTGCTGCATTCACAGTGTTGAGCTGGGCAGGTTGGGTACCCACACGGTTCATGACAGAGGCAATCGGAGGAAAGAAGACTGCTCCCACCTTGTGTGTTTTCTGGGTTAGCACACTTCTCAGGTGAAGGGCCGCTTTCCTCACCTTGCATGTACTTGTGAGGATTGCAGGACTTCAGAAACCAGGAGACATCGGTTAGAATGGGGAAGAATGAGCAGCTTCTAAATTTGGTACATATGGGGACCTGCTGGAGTTGATTTTAGAAATATAAGCAAAGAGTGCCAAAGAGCTGTTCTACCCCTGAAACATCCCTACCCAGTTTGCCTGGGGCTGTACTGTTAGGGGTGCGTTTTTAATAAATACTCCTTCAAGGTCCAAAGGGGGAAGTGCCCTGTCCCCAGACTTCAGCACAGCTGTCTGGGCAGCAGGGAGAGCTGGGCTTCTGGGACGGGGTGTGGCTGGAGTTCTGGGCAGGTGTTGGGGAACTGGGACAATAAAATAAAAGATTAAAAAGTCCTGTTACCCTTAAACCTCCTGCAAGGTGCACTGGGGCATGTGGAAGATAAACTGCTGTCTTTACAAGTGTGTCATCTGGGCCTGGGTCTCACACAGGAGGTCATATATAAACTATTGAGGGATAATACATGCCCCCACACTGACCCCAACCCGCAAATGCCCTCCTTTGACCCTACCAGAGCCAGCCAGGTGCTTCTGCTCCTGACAGGTGTTTTCCAGGCACTAAGAGGTTTCCTGGGACGTGGGGCTTCAGAGCCAAATGGGGAAGGTACCAGGCAGATTGAGACAAGTCGGCCACCCGAGCCCCAGAATCCCCAGGCTCTTGGTTAGAGTTTGTTGATGTGTCTGGCTTTTGAGGGGGAGGAGGAGAAGGAGGACCAGGTTCTATCTAGTATTTAGTATAATATCCATGCCTATTATAGAGTGATATCAGTAAATATTCAAGGTGGAAATTGCTGACCACCTGGTTGTGGGTATGTCCTACTGCTTAGAGCCCAAGTTTAGGCATTAAGGAGAGTCATGGTTTCTGAATTCCAGTCCCAACCCTTTACTGACCTTTGGTTTGACCATGGCTCAGTGCCTCAGTCTCCCTTAAAACTACATATATTCACATCTATATCCATCCATCCATTTCTGTCATCCATCTATCTGTGTTACCTGTCACCTATCTGTCTTCCTATCAATTACCTATTGATCTATCCATCTATCTATCATCTTGCCCCAAATCTCATAGCAATTTTGAAGAGGCACAGACGATATAAGCCAGATCTGTGGGAGTAAATGAAGCTTATCTGGGAGACAGTTTATACCAGGCCACCCACTGTTACCCAAACCCTCCACGTACATTCACTTTTTTAAGTGGCCCCCTTGGGACCCGGAAAAATCAATTCAGCTCCCCAAAGGGCCTCTTCTCAATGTAGGCACCTGGTGCCAAAGAGCTGGTGCCATTGCTTGGGTCACAGCACCCCAGCCACTGACCCTCTCCATCTCTTCCAGACAACCTTTGCCTCCTACAAGCATTTGCTGGGCGGGTGCGTTTCCTGAGTGGCCGTGCGGTACTTGATGTCACAGAACGTCTGTCTGGTGAGCACCCCCAAACCTCCCCACCCCAGCCTTCCAATCAATCTCTTCTTCTCTCCTGGCATGTAGCTGAACCACCCACTTACCTCAGACCCCCAAATAATCAAACAGTTCTGATACACCATTTAAATTTTTTTGATAAGCTGCTTTCTAAACATAATTCCCACATCTCCAGAAAACAGTCTTTGATATTGGTCAAAATGAGACAGCTTTGCACATCACCAAAATAGTTTTAAGGAAGCTGTTATTCATTTCTTCTTCTTTGCAAACAGGGCTTCCAGTAGCCCACAGGTTAAGCTCTGCGTGAATCAGAAAAACCCACCCTCTGGGTAGACACCGCCTTGTGGGGGCATGGCTTCAGCAGCAGTAGCATTGTCACGAGAATTAGAATTGTCCCTTCTTTGGCACGCACACCCTGGCAAGCAGAGGACAGGCTGGATTTCAGCCCATCTGACCCCTTGGCCAGGTGCCCAGAACTGTGTTACACGGAAAGGAGGCTTAGCTGGAATCTGCCCTGTGTGGTTCAAGCTTCAGCTGAGGAAGACTTGCTCCAGGCCTATGTCTACTTTGAGTTGGCAGTATCAGGTGATTCCACTCCAGGGCTGAAACCTCCTGGGACCCTGGAGATGGCAGCTTGGAAAACAGAGGCTTTGGGGTAGACGGACCCATTTGCCTCCTGGCAGCTTTGACCTTGGGCAGGTTACTTACCTTGGTTGTATCATCTTTCTTGTGTGCCCAAAGCCTCCCACTCTATCTTAGGAAGGCCTATTTAGGAAGGAGGTAGAAGGATTCAGTCTGCTCTCTAGACTCCTGAGGGCCCCCCTAACATGCAGATGGATCATGCCACCCCCCTGCTTAAATCCTCTGTGGCTCCTGAGCTGTCTTTACAATAGTGTACAGTCTCCCTGAAGTGGGCCCCGAGGCCTGTGGCTGCCTGGCCCTCTACGATCTGCCTCCTTCCCCCATTGCTCCAATCACATGCACTGGATCATGGAATCCTTATAATGACCCCACAAGGGAAGCATGGGTCACACGACTATACCCTTTGTAGGAATACAGAAAATGGAGCTTAGCAGGGTTAAGCGCCCAGGTCCCTTGGTGAGTAATCCAGGATTTGTCCCAGGAACCTGGCTGCACTGCAGAGCCCTCAGCCTCTGCTAGTGGCCTCTCCCTGCGCGGCCCCGCCTCCGCCCCCGTGCACTGGTGCACTGCCCTCCTTGTAGTGGCTTGTTTCCCACCCTCCCACCTTGGCCTGTTCACATGTGGCATCCTGCCTGCAGAGCCCTTCTCCACCTTCTTCCCCCACCTGAGCTGTGCCCACGTCACCTCCGCTGCTGACCTTCTCCCCAGCCCTCCCACCTGAGTTTGGTGTACCTCTCGAGAGCACATCCTCCACTGTGCCAGCCTCAGTCCTATGGCCTTGAGGCCCTGGTCCCTCAGGGCTCCCTGACTGAAGGTATCATGCCAGCTCCTCCCGCCCCATCTCTTGCTCCTGGCCTTGCCTGCGTGTCCTGCTTCAGTCCTCCCAATGTCCCTGGAGTGACCCCTTACCTCCCATTCAGGTGCCAGGCCTTTCCAAGCAGGCGGGGCAAGTAAGGCAGCAGCAGGGGCTAAGTGCAGCCATAACACCATGGGGTAGGAGCGTAGCCACGACACTGAGGCCACTCTGAGTACCAGACCCAGAATCCTTTTCTGTTGCTCAAAATCAGCATTCTCTGGGTAAAACCCTTACCTGTCTTTGCGTAAGTAATTTATGGGCCCCAGAGGCTGGCAGGACCTCACTTTAGATTATCCATTTACTGTAAATATTTTCCCTCTATTTCTAAGAGACCTCAAAAGCAAGAGTTTCTACCTAGCTTTCATTAATTCCTTGTCAGCCAGGAACAGAGAAGGAAATTCCAGCTGACACACAGCCGACTAATACTAGTGGCTTAACAGGAGCAAAACTTCTGCTAGTTACTTTAGCTTCCTTTTAAGCTCTCAAACTTAATGGGGTTTTCTTCCTCATGATGACTCCCAGAAGAGCCACGGCCATCTTTGCCAGCTGGGAAGGCCCACACCTGTCAGCCAGGTGACCCCCTCCCTGCCCTGCTGCACCGGGAAGTCTGGAACTGACCAGAAGTGAGCTTCTTGGGGCAAGAGTGTAAATGCCTCACTGCTGGGAGGGGGAGAGTTCAGTGAGAAGGGCGGCGTGTCAGGGAGGAAGAGCAGGTAAGGTGTGGCTGTTGGGGGCAGGTGGACCCTCACCCCTTGCTTGGGACAGGTGAGCTCCTGCTCCTTGGTGGGGGCAGGGAGCCCTGCCGGGGCCTGGTATTATTATCCTGAGATAATCCTCACCATCTGCAGGTGAGCTTCAGTGGAGATTTAGGACACTTTTGGTTACAGTATACCTGCTAATCAGGATTATTGGTTTCCTTTCGGTTTCCTCTGGCTGCCCTCCCTGCCACCCCCACCCTGGGCCTGACCAGCTGCTTTCCTGTTCCTGCATTCTCCCTTCACAGCTTGTTTGTGACACAGCTAACGGCTCCCACCTCTTGGCTCTGCTTTATGTCGCTGCTCAATGCCAGCGTGGCTGGGTGGCTCACCGTGCAGCCCTGCTCCATCAGGAGTGAGGGCCACCTTTACCTCTGAGGGCTCTGTGACACTGGGGAGCCCCCTAGGAGGCCCCACAGTGTGGGATGCAGGCACCCTGAGGGTATGGCCCGAAGGTCAATGTACACATTCCACAGGACATGGCATTGTGAGGGGACAGGCTGAGCTAAGGGCCAGGCCGCGTCTCTGTTCCCTGAGTTCCAGTCTGGATCTGCAACCCCAGGGCTCTGCGGGGCTCTGCCAGGGGATTGGGTGACGTGAAGCTCATGAAGGAAGGCAAATCGGAGCTTTCATTAAAAATAAAACCAAACTCCAGATCAGCCTCTGAAATGCAGAGACCCCAGGGGATTGGGGCAACCAGGGGTGGCAATTGAAGCAGGTTTGGCCCATGTGCCCTGCCCTGGTTAGCTGTGTGGTCTGGGGCAAGCCCCTCGACCCCTGAGTGTTGGCTTCCTCCTCTGTGAGCGATGAGTATCCTGCCTCTTGGGGTTCTGTGAGGGTGAGCTGTGGCCATGCTGCACAGCTCTGAGCCCCAGACTCAGGACTCAGGCAGCATTCATTTCCTGGGTTTGTTGGCCCAAGGACCTTCCAGTTTCTTTGGCACGTAAGTAAATAAAGTGCTTCTCTCAGCATCGTTTGCCTTCACAGCACTTACCCTTTGGCAGGATAATGGGCAGAGCGTGCTGACTGTAAAGCAAGCATTGTTAGCTGGAACATGCACTTAGGGGAATGGGCCACGGCCACAGGCTGGGGCAGCCCCCTGCAGTGGCCTGGGCTAGCCCTTGATGTGTCTCTGACATCTGGGGCAGCCCTGGCATTTACTCTGTGATGGAGAGCTTGCTGGCAGGTGTAGTCTGCTTCTGGGTTTTCAGGAGTTTAAAGAAGGAGAGGGCCTGGGGTAATCAGATTTGGGGGTTCATGACTGGAATGAAGGCTCTCTGCAGTTTGCAAGGAGTGTTCATCCCTCTTGGGTCACTGCTGGTCTTACTGTGAGGTTCTGCGTCCAGACACTGGGGAGGCCATGCTGGTCTTACTTCCCACTGGCTATTTTATTTTCCACAATGCTCTGCTTGAGAGAGTCTTGACTTTTGTCCGTGGTACAAGCATTCTGTGTTTGTGTGAACTTGTGTAAGTGGTAACATGGATTAGAGCAATACTAGTCCTAGCTGCAGTTTGTCACATGCTATCAACAAAGACACTTGACGTACGTTTATGGTCTAATCGTGAACAATCTCAAGAGTTTGGTTCAGGATTAGTATCCTTACTCTACAGATTAGGGAACAGGCTCAGAAAGCTTGGGTGGCTTTCTTAAGCTCACGCAGCTAGTGAATAGCAGAGGCAGGATTGCAATCCTGGTGTGTCTGCCTCTCCTCTTCCTGGGCTGCAGGGACTGATTATGACTGTCATAGGACCTGAGCCTTTGCACTTTAGCCTTTGCACACTTATGACTGTCATAGGACTTTAGCCTTTGCACACTGCTTCCTCCATAAAAAACTGTTAAACATTATATTTTATGACTGGTTGATATAAATCAGGCTGGATATCTTCACTGTTTTTCTTTAGATTTTTAAAGAAATTAAAACTTGTCCATGGGCCCCTAAATGTGTTGTGAACCCTACATAGTGTGTTTAATGGATTTGTTGGCCCTGCTGGACTGCCTGTGTTTTGGAGGACAGAGTTGGTGTCCCAAAAGAGGCAGCAGGAGAGGGAGGGAGTGCCTGACTCAAGTAACTCTCCCTCTTTTCTGCCACACAGTGCTGGTGGCCTCGGTGTACCCCCGAAAGCCCCAGGTGGTGGAGCGCCACGTCCTTCCGGTCCTCTGGTACTTCCTGAACAACATGATTGGCAGTGGCATCCTGCCCGGGCATGGCGGGAACGTCCGCCCAGTGGTGTGCCGACTGTCCAGAAGTCTCCAGGAACAGATGGGCTCCAGGCTGCAGGACTTGGCCGCTGGCCAGCCAAAGCAAGTCCTCAAAACGCTGCAGCAACTCTTAGACACGGAATCCCTGTGAGGCAGTCCCGAGGCCCCCAGCAGAGGGATGGTACCAGGCAGCAAGACAATCGGCAGCTCACGCCCCTTTCAGCAGGATGAAAGACAGATCTGAAATGGGCGATCATTTTTTTATCTTATTTTTATGATGGAATAATCACCTGGTATACTTTCCCTTAGAGTTCCAGATGTACATAGTATATTTTGAAGTAGAAATAAAATAATTACTTATTTTTCTAAGGTTTTATTATCTTGTACTTTTTCAACTTGAGAGAATTTTCCAGTAACTAGGTTTGCAACTAAGAATGTAAAACATGACAACAGCAAAACTGGCTGCCAATGATACTGAGACAAAGAATCGGGGAGGAGAAGGGTAGCCCAGTCCCGCATGGTACAGACCATTTGGGGCACAGCCCCCTACCCGTGAGCAGCTGGACAAGCACTCCTGAACCACAGACCCTGAGTTGGGATTCAAATCCCATTGGTTATAAGCTGGATTTGAGGTCAGTGTAACAGACATCTCGGGCATCATGCTTCTGCCTTGCGAAATCTTTTGTGCAGTGTCTGTTGGTCCTATAGGACCCTTCTAATGGGATCTGTCCATGTTATCAAAAGGAGAGTTTAATATTTGTGTTACTAAAAGCTTTTTGTGGAGGTTGGAGTTCTGTTCTGAAGAAGAATAGACAATGTTTCACACTTGAAATACCACAAATGAAACCTACACAGTATGTGATGCCCTGGGGATGCTGTGCAATTGCACCGGCTCTGCTAGTCAGCTGGTCACGGAGCTGGAGAGCGGGGTTGGGTGCAGGATGGGCCAGGCCATGAGGAAGCTGAGACAGGGTGTTATCCACTGGTGGAGCAGCCAGAGAAGTGGTCCTGGCAGTGAGAGGGGGGTGTCTGGGCCTTGGGTTCTGGACACAGGAGTGGCTCTGCTTTGTATCTGGCGGTGGCACATGGACAACTGTGTGAATGAGAGCTCAGGTCATTACTCAGACACATGGGTAAGGCGAAGGCTGAAGGGACAACCTCCCCATCCCAGCCGAGGAGCCAGACCCACAGCAGTGCTCAGGCAGATCCAGATGGTGGATGCCCTAAGGGCCCAGCTCATGGCAGCAAATTTTCTGGTCCCCCCAACCCTCCACCAACCCTCTCCACTGTCACCCATCCCCAGGTATGACACTGGTTCCACACTGCTGTTCTGAGCCTCTCGTGGGGAGTATGGCCCAGGGAAGGCTGGGAGGCCCCATATCAACTCAATTGCATATTTCCAAGCCTCGTGGGTGTCCCTGGCCAAGGAAGACACTCTTCCATCTCATCAGCATTGCCAGGTGTTGCCAGGCCGGCCCACCCAGTGGCCTAGCTGAGGGTGGGGAGGGAGGTTGGACATGGCACAGTCATTCTATGATAGGAACTTTTAATAGGTGGCTTAAGTGTGACTTTGGGTAATTCCAGCCCCAGCTTGAGCTGCTTCTCACCTTTGACCTTGGCAGGGGCTTCCTGGTCAAAGTCTGAACCTGGTTAAAGGCCTGCTGGGCAGGGAGCTGTCAAAGATGTCCTAGAGGCTCATTTGAAACATTTGTAAAGTTTTATAGTTTCAGTTCATTTTGTTGCTTGGAGTCTGAGCAGAAGTTTTGGACTTGGTAAGGAAACTGACATTTTCTGCTTGTCAAGATCCTAGAACCCATCAGAATATTTCTGGATTTTTTAGAACTGTAGATGCCAGGGATGTAGTCTGGCAAGGATTTTAAAGGCAGAAATTAGGGTCAAAGTCATCGTCCTGTCTTCTGCATTCAGATCCTGTCTTCCATGTGCATCTGCAAACTGGAAGCCCCCCACACCCTCTGCTCTGTACCTTTCCTCTTGGGTGCTGGTGTTTAAGACAACTGAGAAAGCTGAAAAGCAAAGAATAAAGCTCTGCATGGCTGTTTCCCTTCACTATTTCAGGCTTTAATCTGATCTCTGCTTATCTGGGCTCTACAGACGACGTCCTGGCACAGCCCTGCTGGGGAAGGGCTGGGTGGTTCTGGCGCACCCTGGGAAATCTCAATCTTAAAAGGTTTCCCACATCATTACTTTTAAAACACAGGGAAGACAGCATGTTAGTGATCTGGGCCCAGGCCTGTTGGGGGTGCCTGCAAGAATGAGGCCTATTGGAAGGCCAGTCATGGGAAATGAAATGAAGATGGTCCTGAGAGCCAGGGTGGGTTTGAGGGGAGCCCACCCCATTCTCTGCTTAGCCAAGTGTGTGTGTGTGGCCAGGAACTGCACTTACTCGGGATGCTCTTGCTGGTGGGACTACAGCCTCTACCTATGCACGAGCATTCTTTGTGTGTTCTCTCTCTCTCTCTCTCCAGGGTGAGAATTGAGGACCGAATACTTGTCTGAGAACATGTAACTGCTTAGAAATTCCTTGCTTAGGAGTTTGAGAGATTTTAAGAAAATATGCCTGCAGGCCCATTCCTTGTCTCATTTCTGGTCCCTGCTTTATCTCTTACCTTCTGGAGAAATGTTCCACTCTCACTGTGATTCAGAATCATCTGGTGAGATAAAAAAAAAATAATGTCTGGAATTTTGATTGAATTGTATGGGGTGGGGCCCAGGCAGCTCTATTTTCTTTTCCTTTTTCCTCCAAGTTTACTGAGATATAATAGACATATAACATTGTTGGTGTAAGTTGAAGGTGTACAGTGTCTTGATGTTCGCCACCATAGCATTAGCTGACACCTCTACCCCATCACATAATCACCATTTCTTTTTTGTGTTGAGAACATTTAAGATGTACTCTCTTAGCAACATTCAAGTATATAATACAGAATTATTAGCTATCATCACTGTGCTGTACATTAGATCCTCGGAATTTGTTAGTCTTATAAATAGAAGTTTGTACACTTTGCCAAATATCTCCCCATTTCCCCCAGCCACCAGCTCCCAGTAACCAGTAAGTCTACTATCTGTTTCTCTGACTGGCATTTTTAGATTTCACATAGATGTGAAATCATACAATATTTGTCTTTTCTGTCTGACTTATTTTACTTAGGATAATGCCTTCAAGGTTTTTGCAAGTGGCAGGATTTCCTTCTTTCTCATGGCTGTGTAGTATTCCATTATTTACTTACACGCACATAACATCTTTCTATCTTTTCTTCTCTCTCTCTCATTCTCTTTTTTTCTTTTCTCTTCAAGTGATTCTAATGGGTGGCCAAATTCTGAAACCACCATAAAATCAAAGGTGTAGAAAAATGTCAGTGTTTTAGGCCCTGTAGGCTTCTGGCCTGCCAGTTCTTCTTACCTGGCAATTCTGGGGTGTCCTGGGTTAGGGACAGAGACTGAGGGCAGGCCCTGGAGTCAGAGGAGCTGGAATCAAGTCCAGGCACTCTTGCTTACTGGTATGTGGCCTCAGACCCTTGTCAACCTCTCTGATCTTTCTTTATTCAATGTGTGTGCATGTGTATGTGTTTGTGGTAGATGGGAGAGGGGAGGATGACAATAGCACCCACCTTAATTGGGCTATTGTGACGGCTGATGAGATAATTCCCGTGAGGTCCTTAGTACAATGCCATGAGCCAGGCAGCATCTGATAAATACTGGCCATTAGGTTTTAGGGTCTTGTGCTCTGCTGCCCTTGGAGTTGGAGGAAGAGGCTGTACCTCGGGGCTTTGTGGAATGAGACCCACTGTTAGCCTGCACTGGGCTTGTTTCAGAGGACAGAGCATGTTCTGCCCCTCTACTGGGAAGTTAGGGCCCTTCTCACGGTTTGGGGGCCTGTCATCTCTCCAGTTGCCTTTCCCTTCTCCTTGCTTGACACCCGCTTCCCAGCTGCCTCCGCATTTCCCTGCCAGCTGAAGAAGAATAATTCTGGAAGCCCTTCTCTCTGCAGGGCTGCCCCCTCCTCCCAGCTCTGCTGGGGGCCGAATGATTCAGAGGGTCACAGCATTTTCTTGTTGAAAGCAGTTTCCTTTCATTATAACTCAGTCCTGCCTTTAGGAAAAGGACGGGAGAAATGGTGAAGGCAAAGAGGATCAATCACCCACCTCCTTGCAGGGATGGGAGGAGAGGCAGCCCTCAAAGGGAAGGGGGGGAGGCGCTGTCCTCTCACTGAGTGTCTGCCGTGTTCCGGTCTGACATTCTGCTCCACATCTCATAAGGAAGATATTATTTTCCCCATTTCCCCCACAAAACGGGCCCCAGAGATGCTTGATAAGCTGTGGCAGCCAGTGCGTGGGAATCACTGGGACTCTTGTTGAAGTGTGGATTCTGATTCAGCAGGTCTGGGTAGGGCTGAGATTCTGCATTTCCAACAAGTCCCCTGGTGAGGATGTAGCTGCTGACCTGGCAGGGGCTCCCTTGTGGCAACTTGGCCCTAAGACACAGCTAGGAAGTGCTGAGGCTTGGATTCATGCTCAGGCCTGTTTGGCTCCACAGCCCCCGAGCTTCCACCCCAGGGTACTCTATGGCTCCAAGATATTTACCTCTTCTTGGGGCAGTCCGAGCCCTTTGAGGGGACCAGTTGAAATCTCATGGTCCTGGACTTAGTCTGACCCCAGAGTTTTGCCTTTAAAAAGTTCTGGGCAGAGGGGGCCTGCTTGGCCCGCTCTGATCATTGGGGCATGTGGTGAACACTTGGCTATCTGTAGCCTGTGGTGGGGAAGGGATTTGTGGAAATAAAGGAACACCACTCAGATGAAAAAGGCAAAGGCTTTATTCAGAGCTTGTAACAGCAAGGGAGTCATCCATGATCACTTGTGTTTTGGCAGAGACTTGAGGGCAGGCAGAGGAGTAGAAAAGCTTTATAGTGGAAAACACAGGTTCCAAGCACACCGTGATGACAGGCTGCTGGCACGGGGAGGGTGTAGGCCCAGTGTGGACTGTGGCCTGCGGTCAACAGCAGCATCCATGGTGTTCGGTAAATACAGACCCCAGGCTTGTACTCCAAACCTACCAAATCAGAGCCCTCAGTCCTTCTTACATGCTCTCAAGGTCCAGGGCCACTGCCACAGGTCCACTGCTCTCAGTGGTTGTTAGGTTCCCAGGCGACCCACACCTGGGAGTTAGCTTCCGAAACATTGTTGAAAACAATCACTTGGGGAGGAGGGAAGGAGACAGGGATGGAGTGCTTGTTAAAAATTCAGAGTTCCTAGCCTCAGCTGTACATTTGTTCCTGGAGCGAGGGGCCGGATATCTCCAAATTATCTAGCAGCTGGAGTGTTCCTGAGATCAGGCAAGTTGGAGAAACAGCTGCTTGTTCCCAGCGAGGCTCCAGGAGACCCTTGGTCAGGCAAACGGGGCATAATTAGCCCCGGGTTTCTTACCAGTCAGGGACCCTCAGAGGCTCAATTTGGCCCTTATCATTAGTGGGGCTTATTCAGGGGGCGTTGGGGCTCCTCTGTATCCCGTTGCCTGGTGTTTCCGTGGAGAAGGCTGGAACACTTGAAGGTTTGCTTTTGTTTTAATCACAGCTTTATAATTACCTCTCTGTGGGTTGACGGCTGTTATTAGCATCACCCTGGGTTCTCCTTGAAAATTTTCACATCCAGAAAGTGATCCTAGACCTCTGCGCTGGTGTCAGAAGCCATTAACTAAACAATAGCTTTAAAAGGTCACCAGGTTTTGTAAACACAGACAATCCTGCCCCCTTGCAAAGGAGAAAAAAAAAAGCTAGATAAATAATTTTCATGAAGGCAATTTGTTTCCAAGGGTCTGTATTTCCTTTCTGTCTCATCCACTGGTTTTTACCACTCTGGGGCACTGGTAATAAAGGGGAGGTGCTGTCGCCCCAAGTGTTTTCTGCTCCTGCTAGGGGGTTTCATCTTGAAGCCCACTTGGAGGGTTCATAGAAATGAGGAACAAAGATTTTCTTGTTAAGACTTTTCTATTTTTCTTAATGTCATGGGCAGTTTTAAATGTGTGTGCTTGGGAACAATGGGGAGTGGTTGACGGGTGTAGAGGGGATTATTTTTTAAAATTGTTTTGGAAATTCTGTTTTGAGTTTTCATGCAAGTTAGTTTAAGAGGATTGACTAACATGACAGCTGGCCTTGGGCTGGATATGAAAAATAACTTCCTCCTTATAAATGTTGGAGGAAACTGAGAATTTCTTCCCAGTTAGGTTGTGGTATCTTTTCTTAGGTCTTCCTCATTCCCCCTCCACCACAATAATCTAAATACTGTTTGCAGTAGTTACTGGAACCAAGGCTGGCCAGGGGCTAGGGGACCTGTGCCCTGTGCTGCCACTGGCTGGCAATGTGTCTTTGGAGCAAGACATTTGACATCTCTGAACCTTCTTTTATTCATTTGTAAAAGGTATTGAAAACATGCTTCATTCATCTCATAAGGTTTTTTTTTAAAAAAAAGATCTAATAAAATCGTGTAGATAATAGTATTTTGAAAAGGTAGAGTATTACATGCAAAGAAAAGGTATAATTATTATTAACTCAAGCCTCGTCCCAGTACAACCTGCTGTTCAGAAGGCACTAAAGTCATTTCTACCATCTGACTGACAGATCACCCACGCCTCAACATGGGAATAAATGTGAGATTCTGAAGCTTAATTTGTTTTTTTTCCATTTGGCATATTTGACATATGTAGTTGTGATTGCAAGCAAAATGTTTTAGTCTTTCACTTTGAAAGACAGAATTCTTCAAAAAAGGAAGTCAATGCCAGCTGAATTTGACAGCTGTTTTTAACCTTATCTAATGATCTCAGTGCAGCTCTGGAAGGAGGGGGAGACTGTTTTTAATCAGAATCTGAAAGTGCAGAAATGGCAGAGATGCACATTAAAAACAGAATTGGTGGAGGGATTATGAGTTCAGTTCTCCCAGATGGCTCAAAAAGATGGGCAGGCAGGTTTGCCCATGTCTTGTAGATGGAAGGAAAAGTAAGTTGGCATCATTACAGATGAAGAAATGGTCCCCGAGAAGCCAGAGCAGAGGGCGGGTGGTGGGGTGATGGAAGGGTCAGGCTCCAGTGTCCTAATTCCGCCCAACAGGAGGGGGATAAACTTTGACTCCCTAGAGTGACCATCACATGCACATCCTCCTCTGCCTCCTCCTCCTCCTTGTTTCATTCTTCTTCCTCCAGTTCGGGCCCCTCAGGTTTGTCCAGGTGTATTACCTGAGTCCAGGGAGTGCCATCTCTCCATTCCAGCCAAAAATGATTGGTGCCTCACATCCAATCCTACCCGGGTACCTGGTACCTGCGATGGCAGCATTCAGGACCCGGGCTACTAGATTAGTCGAGTTCTACATTCACCTGATGCAGGGCCCACAGACAACCTGTGAAGCTACTTTCTAAGTCCAGGAGTGTAACCAAGCCAATGGTGTCCAGGGTCCTCCATGAAATTGAATTAGAGCACTGAGCGAATTAACTGTTTGCTCCTGTATGAGTGCAACGCATCTTTAATTACATTTCATAAAAACGTCTGGATAGATTAATGGAACTTCATGTCCACTTCAGGTAGGCACAGGGAGTAAACCCACAGTGCCGCATAACGTGCTGTTAATACAGGATCTGAGCACGTTGACTTTACAGGGGTGCAATAGAATCTTTGATGTGGGGCTACTTAAAAATGCATTACCTCTGAAAAGCTCTCCTTTGGAAGATGGAGACGGTGTTGGCAGCCTGTGAGCAGACAACCAGATGATCAACTGGCAGGCATGCTGACACTTGTGATTCACTGCGTCAGCTCCTCTGCTACATGCAAAACACTAGTTTAGTTTAGAAAAAGGAATATCTTTCTCAAAATCCCTTTCATTCACATGGTAGGTTTTACGAGGCAAGTCTTGTCAAACAAAAACTCTTCACAATGAAAGGAAAGTCCCTTTGGTGTGTCTGCCTTGCATTTTCTGTTAATGTGGATTATTTCAGGCTCTAAACTGGGTGTATAATGTGAGGAAGGAAATAGACGTGCTCACAGTAAACAACCTCACTGATCCAAGCTGCCGAGGGAAGTTGCATTTCATCTTGGAGACTGTATTTGTACTTGCAAAAAGCTATCACTGTTCCACCACAATATATTTACTTTTTTTCTCTATGAATCCTTTTGGTAGAACCAGAAAATTGTGTTTTTGTCCCATGGCATAACTATTTGCTATGTTCGTAATGTGCTGGATAAAGAGTTGGCTGAGTACGTCCCTCTCTGTGGTTCTGGGGGTCTCCAGGGGTGTGGAGGATGGTCATACACCCCTTGAAAGAAGTTGGCCCAGTAAGAATATGGGTATAATATGCACCCCTCAAATGTATCAGTGGTGGATGCCCTTTTGTCTTTATACCCAACATTCCTTCCTGTTTTAACTGCGTGAAGAAAAATACAGACTCAGGGGTCCTTAACCGGCTGGGTCCATTGACTTAAAAAGACAAAGAAAAACACCTGCCCTCTCTTCTCCTTGAGCTCAGGAAGGGATTGGGCCCAGCAAGCACGAGGTTCTGGGGGCAGGGGTGGTAAGGGTGACCCATCTGGGAAGCTGTGGAATGGGCCTTGTCCCTCATGGCCACCAGCGGTGTGCTGTCCGAGGGAGAGTTAGAAACATGGGCTTGAGGAAAGGCCTGGACTCCAGGAGGGGTAACACTGAGCTGGTACCCACATAGGTGGTCTGTTGTGGTGGATTTAATTTCTTTTTGCAAAGTCTAATTTACATGTAATCTGGGCTAAGTCTGGTAATTGGGATGGTAACCGAGAAACGTCTTTGACCCGTCTGCTCCATTGCCAGCTCGTCACAGTTTCACCTTTGACCTTCATTGTTTTCTGGCCCTTTGCACCTGACTTGGGATTCTGGGTCCTTGGCAACAGGATGGCTGCATCTGCTCCTTGTTCTGCTGCCTGGTCCTGAGGCTCTTGGGGCCTCTCATTACACTGTGAATGGGGCGCATGGCTGGAGCCTACCACTGTCCTGGCATGGAAGGTTCTCAGTAAATGCAGAGGGATGAGGAGCTGCTCCAGGTGATGGCAGGCATGTGTCCCTCCCCTGCTGCCCGTGGCGTGGGAGGAGTGGGGACTGGCGCTGCTCACCAGCCTAGCTCGGGGAGGGGCAACTGCTATCTCAGAGAGCCTCCTGACGGGCACGCTCGTGGAGGGCAGTGGTCCATTCCATACTTTTCCAGGGCATTCTATCAGATGCTGACCTGCTCCGTGACATAATACACTGCCTGCTCGCAGCTGCCTACCTCCAGCTTTCATTGCCCTGGCCAGTGCATTCAGTTCCCATCTAACCCTCAAACCAGCCCCAGACCTCTCAGATGAGGCCTAAGGAGACCCTGGGCTGAACTCGGCTGGCCTCCCCTCCTCAGGGTGGAGCTGGCTCCCACTTTTTATCGTAGTTCCAGTAACTAGGCTTTTTATGGTCCCTATGTTGTGTCCCATTTCATCAACTGTGTCCCTGACCAGTCTCCCTGCCGTGGGGTTCTGCTTTGTTTCTTCAGACCTCCAGAAAGCCTGCCCCTAACCCTAGCGCAAGGTGGGTCCCCTGCTAACTAGTCCTTCCTGGGGCTTCTTACCTGTGAGCTGCATCTCTGCACACTGCCTGCTTCCCACATGCCCACCCTGGGGCCCTGTCATCCTGGCCCATCCTTCCTTACCCACTGCTGGCCTGACCAGCAGGGGAGACGCCCAGCTCCACAGCAAGCAAGTTCCCTAACCCTGGCTTCTCACAAGCCTACCTCAGCCCCGCCCTGCATAGGTAGCTGGCCTTCCTCCCATTGCCTGTGGCCCAGGCAGCTCCCAGGGGCCGCCCATGGCTCCCAGGGGGCTCAGGCCCAGCACAGCCCCACTGCTGCCCAACCCTGCTGGGCCGGTTAGTGTGGCTGCACAGCATTTGTGAGCATATGGCTTGGTGTGCGCAGACATTTCCCAGTGCAGGGGTGGGTGGTGGCCCCTCCTGGTAGTTTAATCAACTGTTCCTTGGGTGCCTTCAAAGAGATCCCTGTCATCCCTACTTTAGTAACTGCACACCCTCTCTTACTTGGAGTTGTGGCCATCCCTGGGGGAGGTAGCCATGAGCCTCAGAACCCAGTTTAACATGTTCTTGAATCATGATCTATTTCAACATGAAAGGACTTGAAGTTTATAATTTTCCCAACTTAAAAAGCAGGTTTACAACAGATCTGGAGGACTGCCCCTTGGCTGTACCACATGGGTGAGAATTCTTATCTTTTAACAACCCACCGAGCAGGCATTGAATCACCCAATCACTGCAAATTATTTTCTCAGAAAGCACTTCACAGCTTCCAGTGGAAACATTCCAAGATTTGCAGCCAATATCCAGCTCATTGGCAGAAGCAGAGTTGTGGCATGAATGACCCTTCTTCACTTCTAATATCAGAAGTTCTGCAGATGACCTAGGAATCAAGTTGACTGAGAAGCCTCAGGGGAGACTGGCATGTGTGTGTGTATGTGTACACCCACATGTCCTCCTGAGCTCAAGCCCCAGCTGGGCACGGAGAATAGTCTGCTTGTTTGGGAGGCTTGGTTATACCCACTCAGTGTGAGAGGCATGAGGATGTGTAGGGCAGAGCGTTTGAGACACGCCTCTGAGACATACTTAGCCTGAGAGGCAGCTCAGCTGAGCTAGGCAGCTGGAAGCTTTGTGTTTAGGGCTTTGGAACTGAGCTTGGGAAGAAGAGGAGTGGGGCTTCATTCTACCCCGGTCTTATCTCCAGAGCAATCAGCTTCTAAACAAAGCTAGTAATGGGAACTTGAATGCTGTGCCACTCTTTAGCCTTAATAAAACAAAGCTTCTCAACCATTTGAACAACTTTGCATGCTTTAGGCAGATGGAGGGATGGAATAGTCATGGGTAATGAAATGTGACGGAGAACAATGGATTCTAGTGCCAAGCACAACTGCTCACATTTTTGCTCTCTTCCTTGCTGCGCGATCTCAGGCAAGACACGTGTGTGTGTGCAGGGAGGGGGATCCAGGGAGCAGAGCTTCGGTTCTCTTATCTGCAAAACCAGGAGAATGCTGTTTTCTTCACCGTTGTGATGATTAAGTGATTTCATGGAGTTGACCCAGGTGAAATACCTACCCCATCAGGCATGGGATAAATACATTTCATCCCTATATTAAGGCCAGTACTTGAAGGATTAAAGAAAGAGTGTCATTGAGAGGCCCAAAGTTAGAGTTTACCTTTGAGCCCCAAAGCAAACCAGGATCTGGGACTGAAAACGGCGATTGTTGAGAGTTTAGCAGACCCCCTGGGCAGGGCACCTTCCAGGCCTTCCCAGGCACCTCAGTAGCAGTGTGGCTTGCCCACCATCTGTGGGCTGCATGACGCTTGACTGTCACCCTTTGCCTCTGGGGTCACTGGCATCAGTGTGACGCCACTGGCCAGCCTGTCAGGCCTCTTCTTTCTGCTGGGGCTGGTCCTGGGGGTGGCTGGCACTGGCCTCCCGCTGCAGCCCGTGGCCCAGAACGCAGAGCTCTGGGGGCGATGCGCCCCTGCTGCTGCCCTTAGGCTCTGAGTGCCAGGAGCTGCTCTGCGGCTCTGGGTCCTTCAGACTCTCCTCGCTGCTGCTGCTGAGAGAAAGGACAGGTGTGGATCAAATAGTCCTCACTGTTCCCGGGGCCCCCTCCCATTCTCCATTCTGCCTCCCACAGTCCCTCCCTACCTGTCTCACCCACAGGCCCTGTGGACCTCTGCTGCCAGGCCCCTGCCTTTCTGTATCAGCCTGGCCCGCTGGCACCATCTTCGTGTGTGCCCTCTGTGGTCAGTCACTACAGGAGCTGAGCTGCCAGCGTTTCAGCTGACAGGTTGAGTCCTGTTCTTCCCCTGATGTCCAGGATCCCACCGCTCTGGACCAAGCAACATCCTCATAAGCTCTGGGAGCTGGGCCTTTATTTTGTTTTTGTTTTTAAAGTACTTCTTGTTTAATAAAGGGATGGCCTTAGCTAGTTGAATTAAAACAATACCAACAATAACAGCAAAAAAAAAAAAAAACAAAACCAATCCCTGCTTTGCTCAGCTGCCACCCTTTCCTGAATGGAGTAAAATGGAAACTGCTTCACCTGGGTCTGGCATTTGGCTGGAACAGAGCCTCCCAGCTGCCAAGTGGTGCAGCGAGAGGGGCTTTGAGTGGAGAGGGACCCCCAGTGTGCACTGGGACTGCAGAAGGGAGGATAGTCACAAGCACAGAGCAAGCCTGGGGCCCACCTCAGAAAGCCCCTCTGGCTTTGTGCTGGCAGGCTGGCTTTACAACTCCTGTGTGGAGGCTGGAGCCTGGCTGGCTGGGTTCGAGTCCTGGCTCTTTCACGTACTAGCTGTGTGACCTGTAGCATGTTACTGGGTCTCTCTGATTCTCTATTTTCGTCTCTGTAAAGTGGGGATAATAATAGTATTCATTTGATAAAGCACTCGCAGGTATCAATTTTGGGTGAAGCATGAAAAACTGAGTATACTAACTAGCATATGGCAAGTGTTCAATAAGTGGTTTGCTGCCACTCTGGTGCTTTGTGGCATGAACAGGAAGTCGCAACTGCAAAGGACCCTTGGGACCATCCTGCCATGCAGAACTGGGCCCAGCTCCCTACATGCACAGAGTAGAAGGCCCTTCTCTGCCTGTGACAGCACGTTCTTGACTATTCCATGAGCTTTATTACGCAGTGTGCTCATGTGTGGTTAGGCTTACTTGGGATATCAAACCAGTGGAGGACAAGGTTGAATTTGGATCCTAACAAAATCAAAGTGGCAGGAGTGTGGGGATGTGGGGGTCAGCCCTGAGACTGTCATACATATGTGATTGGCAGGCAGTGAGGAACCCACAGTGTTCCTTAGAGTCAGTCTCATCTGTGTGTGCTTCTGGCCCTCTCATTGGTTCCTACAGGACCCACTGTCATTGTGGGCCACAGCTCCCACCTTCACTACTTTTCCCTGTGCCCCTTTTGGAGTGGGGGAGGCTTCTGCACTTCATGCACAACCCTTTGCTGCTCCCCAACTAGAGAGGCTGGCAGGGACAGAACAGGCATGCTCAGAGCATAAGCTGTGGTGTGCAATGTCAGTGGCCTCTGACACCGAGGTCTGACAGATGATTTGGTTCTAGAACTGTCTCCCCATGTCCTAACCAGGTTCCACATCTGCAAGAGGCTCAGGCTAGGAAGCTGATTTTTCCCACTGTCATGACTTGGCCAGTTCTACCTGTTCCCAGAACTGCTTGGGAGGCAGGTTGCCCCCCCTGGTCACTCGGGAGCCTAATTCAGAAAATGGGGTCGGGGCTGCAGAGAGCAGTCCAGCCCAGGCAAAGACTAAAAGCACCACATGAGGAGAGAAATTCTGGATCCTTGCTGACTGCTCACAGTGCCCTGGCATGCTGAGACCTAGAGAATGGCACCTCTGCCAGGGGATTCCACACATAAATAACAACTGAAGCTCAGTAACTGGGCTTCCTGGGTAAGCCTCCAAGGACGGCTCCTGATCCCCTGGACCCCAAGATCAGGAGGATGTAAGCAGCATCATTTATTCTATAAACGGGGCTTGCTCCTAGCATGGGACGACCAGAAAGGGGTCAGTGCCAGATGCAGGACAGTTCATCCTGCAAGCTTTCCCCGACTGCAGGATACAGTGGGTGTGGTCACATCCCTGTGAGTCCCTGCTCGGGGAAACTGCCCATGTGAGCACTTTGCTCATGGGCACTGGCTTGTTGGCTAGCTGCATGATCTGGGAAATCACGCTCGGTTCCCTGGTAGGGTTTCCTGTATGAAGAGAGCAGAACAAAAATGCTTGTCATCTACAGAGCAGAAAACACTTGGTGCTTTCAGCTGGTGGGCTTCTGCTCCTGGACGCCCACTTTACAGGGTTGGGCGAAGGGTGGGGTGGGCTAGGGAGTGAGATTTTCCCATCACCGCCATCATGTGCTCACAGTTTCACCATCCAGAACGGCTTAGAGGTGTGGTCTTACCAGGAGTCAGGGAAATGGATGCTCGTCATTACGTGACCATCCATGCGACATTGGGAAGCCTCCTGTTGATGAATCCTCTCTCTTTAAAACTACAAGTACTTCTCTCCATCTCTCCAAATATTGAGATTCAGGACATAAAACAACCTTGCAGGCTGACCTATTTCAAGGAGAAGCCCAAGAAAGGGCATTATTTTCTTCTTGAACAATTTTATGTTACTTTATTATTGCTCCTGCTGTTTTAAAATGTTAGTATTTTTAATTAATGCCATTTTATTGTTCCTGTTCTCTCAAGCTCTTCTCCTGAAGGGCACAGATTTAGAAATCTAATAACTGAATAAGTGGCTAGTGTGAGGAATAATGCATTAACACAGAGGTTCTTAGATGAAAGGCACTGTGCGGTGGGAAGCTCATTTTAGATTTAAGAAAAGAGCAATGTTACATTAAGATTCTTGCAAAAATAATCAATATTTCATTTCTTTCAAGTGGCTGGGGAAGTTTATATAACTGTAATAATGCACAACTTTCCCAAGATAATATCTTTATTTAAAATTGACTGCCAAGTGCTTTGTAAAAAATTACCATTTATGCCTTGACATACTGTGAAGGCTGTAATACATATCACTCTGGCAGAAATAAGCTGCTGATTTACAGAGTTGTGGGCACTGCAAAGATAGCAAGGACTGGTGCTGGTTGAGCTTTGTCTGATCTGATATCAAGGCACACTGATAAGAGTTCCTCTCTAATAGGCCTCAGATTTACATTTTCTCCCCATTATGCAATTCTGGAAAAGATGCACTTCCCTGTGTGTTCTGTAAAACAGCCACTCGGTCCTGTGAGTCTTTCTTTCAATGTCCAGGCAATGGGAGACTGACTCATGGCCCATTGCAGCCACATGCCCAGGCTTGTCTGCATCGCTGGGTCAATGACATGCAAGTGAGCAACCCCTCGTGTCAAATGCACACACAGAACCCAGTCAGCCAAGGGCAGGAATGGCAGCTGTTTGCCTGAGTTTTGGTTCTTGGTGTTTAGGAGGAGTCTTGTTCTTACTCTACACACCTCTGAAAGGGGAAATGGAGATGAGCCTAGAACGGAGAAGTGGAGGCAGGTCCTCGGGTGGATACTAGCCACACATTCATATTTCATACCTCCAGGACCAGCCGTTCTCAGGGTGTGCCCCCCAGACACTTTTGGGGAGATCTGTGAGGTCAAAACTATTTTCATAATAATACCAAGATATGATTTGCCTTCTCACTCATTCCTTCATGAATGTAGACTGAATCTACATGACACTGACTGCAGAAGCAGGTCTGAGAGTCCAGCTGCCTCTGTGAAGCCAGACACGAAAGAGATTTGCAAAAATACGTCAGTGCCAAATATTTTTGTTCTGGAAAATATATTTACTTTTCATAAGAATATGTTATTTATGTTACCATAGAACAGGGTCACTTAAAATTAATAAGTGTTTTAAATATTTCTCAATTTTCGTTTATATTATGGTAAAAAGCAACAGCTACAAAAGCTCTTTTGGGTTCTCAACAAATTTTAAATAAAAGTTTGAGACCCTCCCACATAGAAGTTGCTCTACTGCAGTAAACCGGAAGTGAGGTGACAGTGACCCAAACAGGGAGGCAAGTCACTTCATCTCAGTTTCCCCACCTGTAAAATAAGGGGGTGTGTGTGGTTGGACTAACATGGTTGTTTTAAACTTTTAAAATACAGCAGTGCCTCTTTTCAGTTAAAATCTTTCCTGGGACGCTGAAATGAGTGACAGCGGACGGCACTGTGGCTCAAGGTTGTGGGGCAGGGGAGGCCGGACATTCCTAGACCTTTTTTCCAACTGCTTGTTTGTTGGAGTTCAGTTAGAAAACCGCTGACCCAGCTGATCCTAAAGGCCCATCAGCTCTGTTCTCAGAACAGCAGGGCCACCTTCTGAGGAGTCTCCCTTACCTGCTCTGGCCACGCTGGGATTCACGAGTGTTGCTGGTGAGGCCTGGGACAGGCAGGGGAAGGCGGAAGCCGGGCCGGCAGTCAGACACTGTTCTTCTGACAAAGGGCTGAGGGTTGAGGGCACACAGAGCCATTCCCCGACGTGAGTCTCCCCTCAGTCGTGGCCCTGAGCTGCTCCTCCAGCATCCTGTGGGGGTCCCATGAGGGCCCCCAGCTTCAGGTGGCAGCGATGGTGCACTGAATGGGTGGGCTGTTGAGAATGGCCATTTAGCTTCAAACAGAGAGGGGGTGGCCGGGCAGAATACAGAACGTGTGTTCTCAGATGCTTTGGCCACGGCTGCCTGACCATCTTCAGCACCTCTTGTTTCCTTGCACCCCTGAGTGGGGGATGCTGTCAGGGATAGAGCGGGGCCAGAGGATGGGGAACTGGCTTCTGTAGTCTGGGTCTGGGGGCTAAAGACCTTATGATGAGTGGGCGGGCTCACCAGGGGAAGGCTGGGTAGGGGTGTCGGGAAAGCTCCTTTCTTCATTGTTGGGGGGCTTGCCAGAGGGCTGACTGGTGGGCTGGGGGAGCTGTGCACGGAGGGGACACTTGACTCGACAGGGCTCGGGAGCTTCCTGAGCATCCAGTGTGCCTTTGTGGGAGAGGCCTTCCTGACCAGCAGGCTGCTTCTCTCTTGGCTCTGCCTTTTGGCCTCTGGAGAAGGTGGCCCTCGAGTTGATCTAGCCAGGCTGGGTTCTGAGGACCTGCTCTGCCCAGATGTGTGGCTGGAGTGGGGCCAGTAGATAGCCTTCTGGGGATGCCTGGGGAGGCCTGTGGCCCTGCCTGCCCGTGCCTGCCCCTGAGTCCCAGTGCTCCTCACTGCTGGCTTTCCGCGGGCTGCTGGTGGGTGGTTCGGCTTTCCAGAACTGCAGCTGTTCTTGCTGTTCCCGCACCCTGTGCCACAGGGCCTGGTGGAGGTGGCAGTGCTCCTGCTGGGCAGCAGGTCAGTGGGGCTCAAGGAGGCTCTTAGCTTTGGGGAAGCCCACGGTCTCTGGGCAGGGCCAGCCCCTCCCAGCTCTGGCACGTGGGTCCCTTCAAGGGAGCTCTGTGTCGGCTTGCTGCTTTCTGGGGGCTCCAGAGAAATGAATGATTTGTCCATCAGGATTTCCAGAGGTGGTGGAGGGAGGTGCTCCGGGTCCTGCTCTGTTTCACAGTTGAGGGCCTCACTCTTGGGCTCTCCTGCTGGAAGCAGAGGTGGAAAAATAGGAGCCAGGGGCCTCCAGCCTGGGTCTACCTTGAGAGATTCTCTGCCTGCTGCTGGGGAAATTTGGGGCTTTGTATACAAGGGGGCCAGTCCCCTGTAAATGGGAAATCTGGGAGGCATGCTGGGGATACCCCACTTCCTGAGGTGGGGGCTTGGCCCAGAGTCCTTGGAATCTCCCAGCATCCTCAGACTCTCAGTGGAACTGAAAGTTTCAATGAGTTTCCTGACTGACGTTCTGGTGGGACAGCCACTGACAGTCCAGTCCTTGGCCCCAGGAGCCTCACAGGCCTTCTCACCTGATGGGATGGCATTTGGAAGCCCCTCAGCTTTCTCCTGCCAGGGCTGTTCACCCTTGGGGCAGGGACTGCATTTCTGCAGAATGTTCTTGTCCTGACTTGGCAAAATGCTGAAGTTCTTGGTGAGGGATGCCTTCAGCTTGCTGACGGTGTTGCTGGGGGTGACCCTGCCTTTGCTGCCGGGCCTCAGAGCTGCTGCTCTGGGCTGCAGAGCCTGTTCCTTGCTCTGCCCCTGCTGTTGTGCGCCCAGGGCATAGAATGCTTCCAACCTCTGGCTGAGGTCTGTCTGGACCCTTCGCAGCTCCCGGAGGGTAGAGTCCTCCATGTGGCTTTTAAGAAAGACCTCTGACTGGGACCTCCTCTGCCTCATGGGGACTGTCCTGCTGCCACTGACTGTTCTAGGTCTCCGTGGGGCCACAATTTTCCTCTCCTCCTCCTCTGCCCAGTCCTCATGCCCAGAAGGTGCAGGGACAAACTTGATCCTTTTGCTGATTGCTTCCTTCATCTTCAGAAACATTTCCTGGGCTTGGGAGCTCCTCAACCTCCTGAGGTGGGGCTGAAATGGGCTTTCGGGGCCAGCAGGTGAAGACCGAGGCCTTGCATGGGAAGCATTTTCCTGCCATGGGTACAGCTTCGTGCTGCTGACTTCGTCTTCCTCCTTCTCTGGGCTGCTGTCCTCACCATCACTGAGGGATGGAGTGTCCATTACACTGGAGCCTTTTGAGAGCTGCGTTTCCACAGAGATCCCAGTCTCAAGGGAATCACAGGGAGCGCTTTTGCCTATCTGCAAAGGCCTGCAAGCAGGATTTTCTGGGCCTGTGCTGGAGGGGCGGGCGCTCCCGGCTCCCCTCTGTGCTGTTGGCTGAATCTTTGCTGTAGGAGGCCTTGAGAGTGGGCAGTGCTGGGGGCTGTCCGAATCCACCCAGAAAGGACTTTGCTGCCAGGTATGTCCTGCCAGCCTGGCTTCCACTGTGGGTGAAATCACTGGCCTCCATTCTGCTGGGCCCAGCTCTAAGTCCCAGCTGGCTTGCCTGCCCAGCTTGTCTGCCAGCTGCACAGACTCACTGTCACCACCAATGCCACTGTCCTCAGAGCATAAGGGTGGGCCCTGCACCCCAGGGTCATTGTGGCCACTTGCCAAGTGCTCCAGCTGCCCCAGAGCCCTCAGGAGGCGGTCGTCCAAGCCCCTCTTTGTGCTCAGCTTGTTTCCCAGGTGGCTTGCAGTGGCAAGGTGGTACCTGCTGGAGCCCTCCAGGAAGCTGCCGGTGAGGGAGGCCACTGTGCCGCAGAGCACCTGCAGCTTGCTGACTGTGTACTGCAGAAGCTGCTGCAGGAGATCTGGCTGCTCCCAGGGCCCTGCTTTCCTCAATGGCCAAGTCAGATCCTCTCTAACTTCTTGGAGGAGCATTTCTCCATCCTTGGAGATCTCCCCCAAGAGCCGGTTGACCTCATCAAAGCACAGCAGCAGGAAGCTGACCATGGGCTGCAGGTGCTCCTGGGTCTGGGTGGCCTGGTGGATGATGCACAGAATTGCTTCATATTTGGAGAGGCAGGTGTGCAGATAGGTGTAAGCATGCTGGTGGGCCTTCACCAGGGCCTCGGGGAAGTCCACTTTACCTTCAGACTCCCGGGCAAGACAAATGGCTTGGCAGCCCAGCCTGTGGCCTTTGGGCTTCTTTTCCCATTTGGAGGTCTCTTGGGTATTACTTTCTTCCCCAGAAAAGGCTGTCCCTTGTGACTTGTGGGAACTCCGTGTCTTGAATTGAATGTCCTTAGCCATGTGGCCTTGTGATTTGTTCCTCTGGGATGGGGAAGTTTGGGTTTCTGGGATCAGTCCTCGCACATCTTTCCCTTCGCCTGCATTGGGATCTCCTGCGAGCTGACAAAGACCTTCAGCTGGAGTTCTGGTCCACCTGGGACCTGGCTGCCCCTTTGCCAGCCTCTCTCCCTGGGATAAGGCCGCCCTAGAGTCATAACAGGTGGAGCTTTGAACCGGCAAAGGGATGGAACATCTTTCACTGACACCCTGATGTCCTGGCAAAATTTCTTTGGGCTTTTTAAAAAATTGGATGCCACTCTTAGCAATGCTGTTAACAATGTCACTGCGGGAAGGTGCACACCCCATGATTTCAGCTTGTGGGCATCTCTACCCACATCCTTGACAATTTTCAAAGAATCATATTTGAAAAGGGAACAAAAGGCAGTCTTACTTGTCCATCCAGGCAATTTTCAGGCCAGAATCCTTTGAAGTCCATGGTGTGAAGTCCTAAACTTGGAGCCAATTCCTTTACTTCCTTGGCCCGCCACGTACAGGTAGTGTCGCCTGTCGTCTTGTCCTAAGTTTTGAACCCTTCTGCTGTTAGTGAGCAGCACGGCAATCTAAAGGACCTTAGTCTCATGGATTACGGGCCTGCGCTTTGCTTGTGTCCTGACAGATGTGGATTGCAAGTGGAACTTTAAGCCTATTAGGTTAATCATGCCCTAGCCAGTCAGCACTCAGTGTGTTCTAATATAGAACTTCTCAGCATTTACTATCTTTGGAAGTGGATTATTTTTGCACGTGCTTATGCTTTTAATTCCGTTCAGATGCCTGCCGTATGAAACCTAGAGAAATGAGCCATGATTGCAAAAGGCTCCGGAAGGGACGCATTTGTAGGAGAGAAGGAAGGGCTTGCCAATTACAGATCCTGGCAGAGAGGTGACCTTCGTGGCTTATGAAGGGCAACTCAGTGAAGTGTGTTCCAACCTGTTAATGTCAAGAAGATCCCAACACATACAATAGATAGTAGTTGAAGCAATACATTGTTGTGTGGCTTATAAAAACAACCTGTCTGTAGTGCTGGAGAATGTGTCTAAATAGGATGATGAACACAAAAGGCAAGGTAGGTTTCCTTTAAACTAGAAAAGTGAATTAGATAGCAGGGAAGCTGCACCCCCTGTTTTGGAGGGGGAAAGCAGAAAAACTTACTGCCAAAAAAAGCTGGTCACTGTGGACCATGGGCTCAGGGAGGCAATACCCTTACAGTAAAAGGCTTTTTATTAAAACTTTCTCATAGGAAAATAAGCTAAAACTGGAGAGCCATTTGGTCATTAGGAGGAGAGCTAAAGGGAAAAACATATTTTCCTTTTTCAGCACAGCTTCTACTCAATCTGAGCATGGTGCTCCTGCCCACGGCTAAGGGTAGCCGCTGCCCACTGAAGCTCCTTCTGCACTTTTCATGCTGTCGGTGAAGTCTGGAGCAAGGGCTTGCAGGAGGGGACTTGGGTTTAGATCCTGGCTCCTCCTCCTTTTCATTGGGAGAACTTCCACAAGCTATTTAACTTCCTGAGGAAGGGCTCATCTTTGAAATGGGGATAATCGTACCTACTTCATGGGGCTCTTGTGGGGATAAAGTCAATTAATGCATGGCAAGTGCTTGGCATAGTGCCTGGTAAGTGGTTGGTACTCAAAAAAAGGGGTAAGAGTGTGGAATTTTTATTCCTTTCCCCCTGGCATCTAAGACACATACAATAATGAAAGTCGTAAGGAAATTCACTAGTTTGTCCAGGACCAAGCTCCATCCTGTCCTTAACTGTCTGGAAATAATTTCCTACTGGTGGACTTGCAGCCCCAGGGTCCGGGTCTGTACCACTCTGTGTCTATGTAGAATGGTCCTCTGCTCCGGACACTGTCACCTCAGGATTTTTCTAAGGCCGCATTGTGTCATTTCCCTGCTCTTAAACACACAACAATTCCCACCAGCTGAGGAGGAAGAAGGGCTTTATATTTAACCACTTGTTACTTTTGAACATTTATTTTGTTGCCAGCTTTTAGTTTTTCTAATAGAAAAAATGTTGCCTTGAGCAGCTCCTGGACTTGCTCAGATTCTGGCTTTATAGTTTTCATTTTCTCTTCCTGAGCCCCGTACAACCAACAAATATAACACTGTGGGTGTCGAGACAGTTTCAGAAACAGAGAGGACTTTGAGATACCTCCTGTGCCATGAGCCAGCTGGAAACCAGCTACTGGGGCTGCGTGCAGAGCCTGGTGCCCATCACAGCCCTATGCCCCAGAGTGCATAATTAATAAAGTTCTCTGATCTGTTTATTTGAAGCAGAGCTCATGGGAGACACAAAGCTGACTCAGTGCCTGGGGGTGAGCTGTGTTAGGCATTAAGAAGTTTCATTTGTCACAGCACTGGGCTGGCTCAGTAAACAAGTGTGCCATGTGGGAAGAGTCTTCTCGCTTCCATTTAACAGAGTGGAAAGCTAATCTGAAGGGTTCTTATGTAACTTCTTCTCCTCTTGGGATTTGGGCCCCTACTTGAATCATCTTGTGAAAACTTTTGATCTAAGTGGCTAAGATTATTTCCAGACAAAAGATCAAAACAAAAGTATTTGCCTGGAGGATCAGCTGTCAGATAGCTCTGTGCCTTGTAGACTAGTTTTCTTGATTATTCCAAATAATTTAGAAGGCTCTTTATTCATTACCACTCATTTTTCATTAAGACTAATTTTTGTTTCTCTTTCTTTTCAAATTGGGGCTCCTTCAAATGAAAAAAAAGAAGAATTACTTTGAGTGGGAATATAAAATGACTCAATTATTTGGAAAATTGTTTGACAGTTAAATGTACACCTACCTTATGACCTATCAATTCTACTCCTAAGACTTTACCCAAGAGTATTAAATGCATAGATCCACAGAAGGGACTGGAATACTCATATTAGCTTTATTCATAATGGCCTAAAATTAAAAATAATCCAAATGTCTGTCAATAGGGAAATAAATTTGGCATAATTGTACAATGGAATTCCCAGCAATAAAAGGAACAGACTATTGAAGCATATAACAATAATAAATTTAAAAATTATTATGCTGAGTGAAAGAAGCCAGACATAAAAGAGTACATACTGAATGATTCCATTTACATGAAGTTCAAGAACAGGCAAAATCTATAGTTGCAGAACTCAGAAGAATTGTTATCTCTGGGAAGAGTTATCATGGGTATGAAGGAATTTCTTAGGGTAATAGAAATGTTCTATATCTTGACCTGGGTGGTGGTTCCATAGGTATACAAACAGGTAAAAATTCCTTGAGTTGTACACTTAAGTTGTGCACTTTATGTATGTTAAATACACACACACCTAACTAAAATGCAATATTGTAGATTTCCTTTGTGCCTAAGACAGTCCTACTTATAAAGCTCTTGGTCTTGGGAAAGGGTGCCTGTGTTAGCTTTCTATTGTTGCATAACAAATTGCCCCCCAAATTTAGCAGCTTAAAACAGCAAACATTATCTCATTATTAAACATTACATTTTGGTGGGTCAGGAGTTTAGGAGCCGCTCACTGTGTGGTTCTGGCTAAGGGTCTCTCATTCGGTTGCCGTCAAGACACCAGCCAGGGCTGTAGTCAGTAGACTGGGGTTGGTTGATTTCCTTCCAACACAGTTCATTCACATGACTGTTGACAGAGGCCTCAGTTCTGAGCTGGATGTTTGCAGGGGGCCTCAGTTCCCCATCACGTGGACCTCTCCACAGGGCCACTGCAGTGCCCTCCTGGGCTTCCCCTAGAGGGAGTGGTCTAGTGAGGGGGCAAGGAGGTGGCCCCTGTCCTGACCTCAGAAGCCATACAGCTTCACTTTCCCCCTATTCTGTTCCTTTGAAGCCAGTTTCTAAGTACAGTTCATACCCAAGAAGAGAAAAAGCAGGCTCCATGTTGAAAAGGTCATTAGGAAAAAAAAAAAGATCTGGGCATGTCTTAGATCAAACCATGACATCCGAAACAGAACTATGCACACCAAACATTGGTTTACGGAGGGCTTGTCCTTGCCTTTCAGCATGACAAAATCAATTCCACCTTATTTTTTTTGCATGGCCCTGAACTAATCGTTCAGTTAAACATGGTTCTAATGTGGCCTCAATTTTGAGTTAAGGCTGAAGGTTATTTAAGCAATCTGAAAAAATGTCTTATTTCTCACATTCTCTCAGCTTCACCAGTGAGTTCTCCTGAAACTGAACAGCTGAGCAAAGTTTCCCACTAGCCACGGCCTAGGGAACACCAGACCCTTTGGATTCTGCAGGGATGCTCTCTGCCACACAGTCCCCTGGGCCAGATGCAGGATGAGCAGGCGAAAGCAAGCAGCTACTGCAGTGAGCTGGCTGGAAAGGGAGGTGTGCTTGTGTTCCTGGAGCTGTGCTAGGCCCTTTGCATATACTGTTTCACTGGTTCACCTCCCCTGCTCTGTGGAAGATAATCATTAGCCATCATTAAAAAATTAATCTGGCTACTATTATATGCCTTAGAGAAATGCATCCAGAGTTGCTCATGTGATAAGCAATTCAATCAGAAACCCACATGTGACATTCAGGTGCCTGCCCTAAGTGATTTGGTGATCATATTAGAAACCCATTTGTTTTCGTCGAATCTCCATATCTATGGCTTACTTGCCATATGCCATATGGTCACACATGCCTCTTCTTGGACCTCTGGAGGTTGACGGCTTAACTCTTTGAGGTGTCTCTGAGGATCCTCCAAAGTAAATTTCATCTATGCTATGTAGTCTATATTTCAAATCAAAATGTCCTACATGTCCTCTCCAAGTTTGGCAGAAATTCATCCATTTTTTTTTTGACTAAGAGAAGCTGTTTTATTGATATAGAATCAGTTTTACCTATAAATCAGGTATTTACTTCAGGTTAGGCTAACTGCTATAACAACCCCCAAATCTTAGTGACTTAGTATAGTAAGTGTTATTATTGTTCCACAATGTCAGTGTCAACGTTCTTTGTTGTATTGTGAGCTTACACAGCTGAATGCAGGCTCTTTCCTTCCCTACCCCTGCTCTTTCTCCTACTGCCCAAGTCCATGCAGACCCCCTAGCTCTCTGCCTTTGCCTTCTCAGTCCCAGTCTCTCCACCTGTAACACAGTGAAGATAGGATGCTGGCCTCATGGGTAAAATGTAAGTGAGAAGGAATCTCACCATTTCCTGGGGTTACAGTGTAATGAGAGAAACTAGCTAAGTGTCTTTGTAATATTGTTGGACAACTTTGTGCAGTTTTTCCTTATATTTAAATAATGTAACTTTTTCTAAGAGTTTCACAAAATTGCCCTTGGATTGAAGAGCAGATAGCAGATTCAGTTCTCTTCACTTTTACATCCAAAGAATGGGTTGTCTGTGCTGAATGGGGGTGAGGCACCAGCCACCACTTACAACCTTATCTGGGAAATTTCATTTGGGTTCACTCACAACTGTTTTGAATACATCCAGTTACAAATTCAGGATTACCAAGACAAAAATAGCCTCTGTCCCCAAAATACCCCCCTGTATTTGTCATAATGTTTAAGGGAGATTACTATCCAAGGCTGACTCTGCAACTCATGCAGGTGATACTTAAAATACTTGAACCAAATCAACTGCAG